AACTTATCTCGCTAATATTTTTTAAAAATAATGTGTTTTTTGAAAAAAGGAAAATAAGAATTGTTCTTTTTTTACCAAAAAATATTATATTTACTTGAGGAATATATTATATTTGTTTAAAAAAAATTTACTTGACGTATAAATATATTAAATTAATTAGATTTTTTTGAAGTATTTATTAATATAACAATATTAAAAAATTGTAGATAACAATTTATTTCATTAATATTTTAAAGAGAACTTTAAAAGATATGTATTTATTTGAACAACATAAAATAGGAAAAGTTGTCTTTTTTACAAATAAAATATATCTCGAAAATAATGTTGCATATTTATTTAATAAATATTTTACTCTAAGAATATTTAATTTAAATACAACTTAATAAGAAAAAATAAAAATAAATAAATGTTTTTTTAGATAATAGCAATGAAAAATGAAAATCACTAATAATAATTTGAAATATGTTTTTATTTTAATTTTAGTTAAGTCATCAAAATGATGTGTCATCCACATCAGCTCATTAAAGCCACACAAGCAAAAAAGTCAAAGGGTTAACCGGTTTAAAATGTAACAAGTTACCCATTGCTATTATGGGTAGATTTTAAAGTACAATGTCTTAATAAAAAATAATTTAAAAGTACATTGCTGTAATAAAGAAAAACAAAAGTAGAATGCTATAATAATAAATTTTGTGAAAGTAGATTGCTATTTCATGCATTTAACCCAATTTTATATAACCACAAGAACTAAATCTGTGTTTGGCAGTTGCTGAATGGTTTGGTGCAGAATGATTAAGTGATCAAAATGATTAAAAGGCTCTCATGATATAGTGCAAAATAAAATATAATTATCTGGTAAATGTTCACAATGAAATTAGGACGCTTAATCATGATTTAATCATTTTATTAACCGAAATCGATCGTTACGGATCGATATCAAGAAACCCGTTTTTTCCATTGATTATCAGAAACGACGCTTCATGTTTGACATCGGGTTAGAATTAAACTCGTTATAAAACTGACTGTTTTTTGTACGATGATAAGATACATTAAATATCTTTCTTCCTTGGTGATTTATGTGTAACTAAAATAATTAAATGTCGCCCTTATTTCTCGATGTTGATTCGTTCAATTTTTTAGTCAAATGTGACGAGTTGAAGCATTTACCGGTTATTATGCTGATGTGACGAGTGATACGGTATCCAACTCAGTATTATTTGTTGACGTAGTTAATGACATAGATTTTTTTTATATCTAAAAGTAGTTTTTTTTAATCTAAAATTAGTCTTCAACCGGTTATCCGATGGTACGTTACCCAAAATATGAATCAAATTAAAGTACGTTATTTTTTCATGCAATTTGACCAAAAATAAACCTCAATAAAAGAAGGTAAGGGTACATGTAGGTCCATTATGCCTTTGTAGAAACCTCTCTAACCTTGAGATGCCAAAACAAGCATGACCCTATATATGTTTAAATACTATAAAATGACGTCGTCTTGTGTATTACTCAACTCAACATATGAGAAAAAAAATAAATTCGTGATAAAGAAATATAAGAACCCCGAAAAGGTTAAAATACACTCTCGATTCACGTTTTACAATTTTTTTAACGACAATAAGAAATATGTAACTGTACGTTAATAGAAATCAGACACTTTTATGTCTTATTTTATTAACAGATTCGTGTTACCATCAAAGTAATCGTAATCTGATTCTATTTATAGGAACAGAGTAAGCATCAATTTTCGGGATTCGAAAACGAGAAGTGGAGTTCTTAGACACGAAAGTAACCAATTATGAAAGAACACGTAAATGTTAAGGCTTCCCAGTGGAGTAAAAATGATCAACAAATATGGCATGTTAATAAATGGTGCAAGACGTGTAATAATGGTTTCGGGTTTTCGAGGGCGGAAGTTCTTTTCGTACGAAAGAACGACTTTCACGCCCACGTTATTTAGACGAGTTGTAGGGGATTTGGTATCTTTTTCTATAAACAACGGGTTTCAAGAATTCAGTTGTAAATAGAAGTGGAGGGAGTTAAGAGTAATAAAAGATTTCCGTCATGAGATACGTTAGATGAAACAAGGTCTTGTACGCAAGTAGTTAAGGATGTAAACAGTTTGGTTTGATTATATTTTACCAAGAGATTGAAAATCAAACTTTCTTAACGGGTTTCGGGTTTTCTGGAGTGTGTGTTTATCGACGTATATTGGTCAAATTCAAACTGGTTTGATTTCACAGTTCAGTAAACTGAACAATTTGTGTTGCTCATAACACTTTTAGTGGAAAATGGTAAATAAAAAATAAAATATTATTTTTCTGTACAACTCAAAATGAAAAGTGAGAATAAAATGGAAAATATTGTCTCATATTTGACGTGACATTGAAATGAGATCATATAAATATGAATGCGACAAAATACGGTCTTTTTGTATTAAAATAGATGGAATAAAAAAGCAGATAACAATACTAAATAACTAAATTACAAAAAACTACAATCGTCATCTGCTGATGCTTTTGTATATAATATATATATATATATATATATATATAAATATATAATATTATAAAATAATTATACATTATAAACATATTATATTTTATCAAATTACTATACTTCTTGTGTATATAATATTTAAAAACATATCATATATTTATGCCCATAACATAAATAATATATTTTTTGAATATCGATAAATAAAACAAATAAACTTACATACCTTTCTTATTTTTGATAAAGTTTGAACCCTTAATCTTTTAAGAAGCCAATAATTCACATACCATTAGGTCAAAAGTCATTTGATAATAAATAATATATTTGTGTATGATAAAGTGTATTATATATATATATATATATATATATATATATAGGGTTAGGTTCACGTGAGACCAGACTGTTTTTGTGAGACCCGTGAGACCCGTGAGACCATATTTTTACACTTGAAACTTCACAGCAAAAACACTGTGAAGGTTTAAAAAAGTCGAACCTTCACAGCAAAAACACTGTTAAGGTTACCTTCACAGCATTTTGTTGTGAAGTTTCAAGTGTAAAAAGTTGGTCTCACGAAAACAAACTGGTCTCACGTGATCCCAAATCTATATATATATATATATATATAGAGAGAGAGAGAGAGAGAGAGGTTGGTTATTATACAACCCTTGACATTTGTGCAACCAATACAACCTTATCTCAACCGTCCATTTCATTTGATTAATATGTGATTTCATAGAAGTTTTGATTGTTTTTTAATATAAAGTATTGATCATAATTAATGAATCGTATTCATCTTCCATAAATATTTAAATCATAATAAATGAATTTTTATCATTTCCATAAATATCTTAATTTATTGGGTTGTATTGGTTGTACAAATGCAACGGGTTGTATTTGAAACAAACTCTCTCTCTCTCTCTCTCTATATATATATATATATATATATATATGGGCCCATTCAAGGGAGAACTGATTAATTTGTGGTAATCGTGAGATCCAATCTCAACCACAAATCAATAGATAAATTAGAAAATTTATAATTTTGGTAGTTTTTAATTAAAATTTTAATGCAGAGACATTTTAGGTATTTTCTCTTCTCTCTCCTCTCTCTCTTCTCTCTCCGTCCTCGTCTTATGGCCTCCGGCCACCGTCCTCCAGTGATACCACAGTGTGATACTCAAGCACATATAAGATGCATTGTGATACAATTATGTTACATATCCGATCGACCATACAAACGACCTCAGTGTGATAACAAACACATATAAGATACATTGTGATACCACTATGGTATCACCGGAGGACGGTGGCCGGAGGCCGGGGGACGGAGATAGAAGAGAGGAGAAAAAAATACCTAAAATGTTCTTACATTAAAATTTTAATTAAAAATTATCAAAATTATAAATTTCCTAATTTATCTATTGATTTGTGGTTGAAATTGAACCTTACGGTTACCATAAACTAATTAGTTCTCATTTGATTAGACCCATATATATATATATATATATATATATATTAGAACACACATATATATATTTATAATATATATTATATTATATTAAACTTTTGATATATTATATAACATATAATATGTTTTTAATATATTATATAGAAAATATGACGAATATTTATAAATGTATTATATAAGCACTTGGTCATAATTTGTAAGTATTTTTATAATTTTTTATTGTTTTATTTTTAATGGTAGTATTGGAGATGGACTTAAAACATTTTCAATAATTTATTTAAAATAGAAAAAAACGAGTTTTTATTCTTTATAAACATTTTCGACAACTATGATAAAATAAAGAAAAATGATATTTTAACAACTTTTTTTCTCCAACAGGTATACTATCTTGTATACTAAAATTAAAAAAAAAAAAAAAAAAAAAGGAGATAGATGGTAGAAATCTCTAAATCTCCATATTTAAGAGAGATAAATAATTTTTTTTTATCTCTAAAATAGAGATTTTTTTATAAAAAATGTATTGAGATGTTAAATTGAGGAATATTATAATAATATAATTTATATTAAAATCTCTAAAATAAAGATTCTGTTGGAGATGAATGTAAATCTTTTTAGAAAATTTATGTTTTGATTATTTATTTTAAAAAAATTATAAAAAAAGTTGTTGAAGATGTTCTAAAAACCTACACACGTTCAAATGTCCAAACAAAATACTTAAATCTATAATTTTAATATTTAATACTAAAAAAATTAAAATTAAGAAATAATTAAATAAGTCGATATCATAATACTACCATGATATACGATTTTCAATACAATATACCAATTAAATTTGTATAGTTGATACATTACTATCAGTTGATTGTAACCGATACCAGTTTAACTGATATAATTGGTTTGATTTATATAAAATTGATACATATTTGTTTAGACAAAAAAAAAAATTATTAAATATTATAAATATCTTATCGTATTACAGCAGTAGAGATGTAACATATATATATCTTGTAATAATTATTGAAGTTCTTGACGATGGAGTCTTTTAATCAGGAGTAGATGGGATGATTAATGAGGAAGAGATAGACTTTGAGACGAGGGTTTTTCCCTTTTCTTTTTAGGCACACATAAACACAACGGGGAACCCAGATTGAGGAGCTGATCCCTCTGAATCTGTTGCAGAAACAAAAGATCAGGTGTGTTCGTACGAAATAACCCCATCTCCCATAATCATTCCAACTTTACACCTTCGTTTAAATTTTACTCTATTGATTTTCCACGATTCCCCTTTCTGGGTTTGTTCTGGATCAGCAATTTATCACTAGGGTTTCTGTTTTTTTTTTCGTCTTAATCGATGAATCCGGGTCTTTTATTCTTCTTCCAGTACGTAGGGTTTCTTGGCCAGACGTTAAATTGTGCGCTATGATCCGTTTATTACTCTTCTTTTTCCTATTTGTGGGAAGAGATTGCAACTATTAACTTACATGCACAGATGAAGTATATTTGCAGCCTACCTGTTTGTTTTTATCCCCCAATGGGAAGATACTCCCTTTTTTCTCATTATCTGTTTGTGTATGCTTTTGCTATAGATTGTTTATTGTACTTGGATGTTTTTTGTTGCAACTTACTAAGTTATGCTTACAATTTTGTTTCCAATTGCTATGTTTCTCAAATAACTTCAAAGATTGTTCTGTTTTTTGGGGTTTTTTTTTATGAGGAAGTTGATTGCATCTGTTTTTGGTTGTTTACCACTTGGATAGATTGTTGGAGGAAGGGAGAACATCTTAACTCGTGATTTATAAGGATGCCTCATCACGAAGTTGACCAAATAGATTACATGGCAGAAGAAGGGGACATGTCGGATTTTGCGGACGATGTGGATGGAGAGGAAAACGGTGGTGGAGATCGAAGTCTTGATGACTATGATATGGTAAGTCTAATTCATCCTTTTTTCATGAGTAGATACTTGTTCGGTTAGAGTTTAATCCAGAATCTAGCATCAGATTTATTGTAATCTGCTTTATATGGTATCAATCAAGTTCCTAATTTTGAGTAGCTTACGAAGGTGACGGATACGTCCTCTGCTCAAGCAAGGACAGGCAAAGATATTCAGGGCATTCTGTGGGAAAGATTGAATATAACAAGGGAAAGTTACAGACGTACAAGGCTGGAACAGTACAGAAACTACGAGAACATTCCCTTATCGGGCGATGCTGTTGATAAGGTTGTATACCTAAGGCGCTTGCCAGTCTTCTCTGCTTCATAAATATGATTCTTTTTTTGCTCTTGATATCATGGCAACTTTGTTGATGTGTGCAGAAATGCAAACAAAAATCGAAGGGCGGTTACTACTATGAATTCTTTCATAATACGAGATCAGTGAAGCCTACGATCCTTCATTTTCAGGTTTATACCATTACTTTCTGTTCATTCAAGCATTCAGTTGCTATTAGACTGATATCAACTAAAATCCCTCATATCAAATTAATCCACAAAAGTCATCCCTAATTTGTGTTTGCTGTTTTTCAAACGATGTTCAGTACTTGTAGGATATAAGTGTATAACAACTGTAACTTAGGGGTTGTTTACCAAACACTTACCCGGGTAAGCGCTTACCAAGTCACGTTACCTCATCGGATGAATATGGTAAGGACCAAGAATCTTGCCCGGTAAGAGCGAGACAAGGACCATGAGTCCTACCCAGTAAGTGAGGGCGACAACTCTTACCACGGTAAGCGCTTACTAGGTAAATTGTTGCATACRATGTCGTTTTATTGGACTAAAATCTTACCCGGTAAGTAAATAATGATGTTAAATTTTACCGATAAGCACTTACCGGGTAAGTGTTTGGTAAACAGCCCCTTAGTGTTTTTACATGCCTAATTTATTTTGCGGTAATTGGTTCTTGGTTCGTCAATGGTATATGACATGTGCATAATGTGTACAGCTAAGGAACCTGGTATGGGCTACCTCGAAGCATGATGTATATCTCATGTCTAACTACTCAATCATGCACTGGTCATCATTATCACAAAACTTGACGGAAATCCTTAACTTCTCTGGGCACGTAGCACCTACTGAGGTACTTCCCTTTGATCATAAAGTTCTGGAAGTTGCAAAAAAAGGGAGGCATTGCCGTGCCTTTTATTTTTCTGTGACTTTACACCTATTAATATTCTGCTGTGCTGATATTCATTTTGTGGCCACAGAAACATGCTGGAAGTTTACTGGAAGGCTTTACGCAAACTCAGATTAGTACACTAGCAGTTAATGACGATTTTCTGGTTGCAGGAGGCTTTCAAGGAGAGCTCGCTTGTAAGGTAATTCTATAATAAAGGACTACGCATTCAGTCAAAAGTTTTGTTTTCTTTTCCTTGGAATATATTTAACTGGAATGTTTGGTAACTGCCCTTAAAAATGTATAGACATAATCCACTAGCTTATAATCGGAAGTTTATATAACCAAGTAGCTTTTTTTTGGTAAATGTTCCAACCAATTGATGCAGACTGAGATTTAAGGAGAAAGAGAGATGACCTAAGCTCAACTCCATATACATAGAATGGTTAGTGATTAAATATTTTCAAACAGAAGGCAGATCTAGCCTAAACAGGAAAAGGAAACTAAAAAGAAGGAAACACACTTCTAAAAAAGGAGATATACAAGACATGATTAGCATCAAACCCATTCATCATTAACTATGAATTATTTACTTCCATAATAACGCTAAATGATAAAAAAACGTCAACTAAATCTAAATAGGTAACTTCATCATCTCACAAGTATTTCTACTGAATTATTAAATAAATTTTATCTCCTAATAACCATGCGTAGTTTCCAGTTACTAACATTCTACATTACCGCAGCCGTTCTTGCATTCAAAGTCACTGTTAGATATGGTTCGTGACCTTTGACTCATCTGCCATTTACGTTGTCATCTTGATGGGGATGTCAAGACCATTGGTTGTTGGTACCCTTAAAGCTGTCTTCCAAATATGTTCTGCATCTTATCTGGAATGCAGCATTTGTAGGTGCCATTGCATTGCCATCATCGCTATCTGACCTTGCCTTTGAATTTATGGGCCATTTACCTGGTCATCTGATGGGAAACAACCTCTCTACCCCTTAGAGTAGAGGCATGGTCTGCCTACATCCTACCGTCAGACCCTATTTGTTAGGTTATTTCCATTTGGTTTCTTATAGTCAAGTTAAGAGAGCACTGTATTCGACATCTGAAATCAACCGTATGCATAGTTGAATCCTTCAGTTTTTATGCCTGTTAAAGGAATGATACCACACCTTGGGTTATGTTTTTCCTGTACTTGCTTCTATTTATATTGCCTTTGCTTAATCATATCTACTTTTATCAAAATTTAGCATATATGTCTTTTATCTTTTTCTATTTTGTATTGCTGTCGTTTGCTCATATCTAGCCTTTCGAATTTTAGCATATTGATATTCTCCATTTCACACACTTTTCACTAGTAGGACTAGGGGGTCTTCATGGAAGCAACCACTCTACTCTTTTGGGTAGAGGTCAGGCCTGCGCACATCCCCACCCACGGCGGAGTGCTGCAGTGCATGCACCTGTCAACATTTAGTAATCACTTATACATTTTGTTGATTTGCTTTCATCTCTAATATGAAACTTGATTGTATTAAATGATGCAGAGGTTGGATAAACAAGGAGTAAGTTTTTGTACAAGAACAACTTATGAAGACAATGCCATAACAAATGCTATTGAGATATACGACACCTTGAGGTACTTATAAATTAGGATGTACCTTTTTACTATAAAATATATTATTTTCGGTAGGCTGACATTTCGATTAATGTGTTACTTTGTAGTGGTGGGACGCATTTTATGGCATCAAACAATGATTGTGGTGTGAGAGAATATGATATGGAGAGATTTCAGCTTGTGAATCACTTCCACTTTCCTTGGCCAGTGAATGTAAGTTTCTGACAATGGTTTTGTTACAAATCTAGCATTACTCTTTTCATGGTTGTAATTATGAAATTTGTCATAGGCTATGTTTGGCAAACTAGCTGATAAGTTAGCTGATGGCTGATAAATTAGCAGATTAATGTAAAATGACCAAAAAGTATATCTGCTAGAATGCAACTTGTTTCAGTTCGAATGTTCCATTTGGGTACTAATGAGTGGTTCTTGTCGCAGCATACATCCTTGAGCCCAGATTGCAAACTCATCACTGTAGTCGGAGATCATCTTGATGGATTGCTTGTAGACTCTTCAAACGGAAAGGCAAGAACCTGTGGATATAACTCCTAGTTTATAACAAGTCACGTATTTTCTTTTTCGGATACTGACATCCTATTTTTGGCAGACGGTTGCGACAGTGGAAGGTCACCTCGACTACTCATTTGCTTCTGCATGGCACCCGGATGGGAGAATCTTTGCGACAGGCAATCAAGACAAGACTTGCAGGGTATGGGATCTAAGGAATCTATCAAACCCAGTTTCGGTTCTGAAAGGCAACATGGGTGCAGTAAGATCAGTGCGCTTCTCTTCAGACGGGCAGTTCTTGGTGGTGGCAGAACCTGCAGATTTCGTTCATGTGTATAACACCAACTTAAACTACGAGAAAAGGCAAGAAATTGATTTCTTTGGGGAGATTTCGGGTGTTTCACTTAGCCCTGATGATGAAAGCCTTTACATTGGAGTATGGGATCGGACTTTTGCGAGCTTGCTACAGTTCAACAAACGACATAGGTATGGGTATCTTGATTCGTATGTGTAGTCTAGTCCCTAATAGTCACCCTGAAATAAGTCGGTCGGAGTTGTTTGTTTTTGTTTTGTTGTGGATTGGAGACCATGGAAGTAGTAGTATCTAAAACATTATTCCCCAGTGACAAGAAAGAAAATGTATAGTAAATATGGAGAAAAGGTTTGTTAAGTATGTTGTCATGACAACTTGTTAATGTCATATGGGTTGTTACTTGTTAATATCAGTCATATTGTGTTGTGTTGGGTTGGGTTGGGTTGGGTTGGGTTATGCACGACTTTCTTTCAAGGTATGGTTTATGGTCTTTCTTTATGACCTTTTCCCCTTTCGGGAACCTGATGCACCCGTCTCGAAGGGGGGACTGGGGATGGGGACGGGGCCAGGTAATGAGATCCCGCCTGCACTATGGCTGCACATGGATTGGGTTGGCCCAAGGGTTGCGGTTTGAAGAATCTCAACCCAGGCAAAACTATAACCCATCCCAAACTGTATTTGGTTGAAATGGTACACCATTTTACAATTTAGCCAAGTGTTTGTGTCTAAATGAAGTAAATCAAAATGATTAACATACAAAAAAAGACCAACAAATTCAAAAAGAAGTTACGAATAAGAAATAAAATTACGGTTAAAATTGTAATATAATTTTGAATATGGTTAATTACGGATTGGGCTAAATATGTTAATCAAAGACTTTAAAAGATTCATATAAAATCCGTAGTATAGAAAGACGAGATTTTTTTTTGATAAGGAGGGGGAGACCTCTCCGGATCAAGCAAAAAAACACTAAAACGCAAGACAAAAAGCATTCGGGTGGGGGCGAGTCCACAACCACCAGAAAAAGTCAAGGAGCCCCGAAAGAAAAGAAGGGAGAGAAAAAGAAACAAACCACAAGGGAAAGGCCCAGACAGGCAAGACTAGGCAAGCAACGGAGAAACAACAAAAGAAGGAATAAGGGCCTAAAACAGGCTCACCCTAAACCAAAAAAGACGAGATTTATCGAGTTGGGTTAGGTTAAAACGACCCTAATCTAATTCAAACCAATAGATGCAATTCGGTTTAATTTTATATCAACTATGTATCGAGTTCCTCGGGTTAAATTCCTTTTTGGGTTATCTCTTGCTGGGTTGGTCGTTATTTTGTGCACCCCTATCCTATCCCGTCCCCGTATATTAGAAATTTGTAATTAAATACGTTGTATATTTCTTATTAAATATCTTTTAGATTTATAAATAGTATCTTGATCTTTTTTCCTTATATATTTTATAATTATATTTTTATGACTTGTCTTCCTCTTTTAGATAAAGAAATACGGAGAGCCGAAAACGTTTAATCAAATAATTACGTATGATGTTATAATTTTATTCACATATGAATATTTGATACCCCATAAAAACAAAATTTTGGAAACATGTGAGATTTAAAGTATATGTTTAAAAAATATGTAATTATTACATTTTGTAAATCAATTAAATGACAATTGTATCCTTAATAACACATGAAGCAATAAATTTATGTATTTCATAATTAAAGATAGAATTAGAAAGTAAATATGTACGTTTAAAATATATATATATATATATATATATATATTGTTTACTTCGATTCAGATTAGTTTTTAGAAGAAGATATCTTAGTTGATTGTAATTGGGTTTTTAGGATCGGTTTGTTTATATTAAGACGTGAAGTATTTGTATACGGTATTAAGACATATTGGTTGGATCCCAAGCCGATGCCTTTCCTAGCATCTGATCTGCTCTCCTCATATCTTCAATATGTATGTTATATTTTCTCTCTTTTCTTTTAAAATTTGGAGATTTCTTCATTCTATCTCATATTGTTCTTTACTCTAGGGGTTGTTCGGTTCATATTCTGTTAAGACATGTATGGATAAAGTTGTTTGTATGATATCAGATAAATTGTTGTTTGATTGTTGTGTTGAATAAACTGTCTGAATAATATAAATGACCATTTTACCCCTTTTCTTTGTTTTTAGCTTTTTCATTAACAAAAGAAAAACTCATTGTTCGCTGTCCCAAGTTCCTAACTTCCTGTGAACATAGCAAATAACAAGAAGAAAGAAGAAAATAGATCTACATATGAGAGCCATGGTTTTTGTTTCATGAAACAAAAAGAGGAAAAACAGGTCTGCAAATGGTATGAACCGGAAGAAGAAACATAAAAAATGGTGAGTCTTCAACAGATCTCCGACGGGAAGGAACTGTGGAGTCGGGGAGGAACCTATGATGGTGGATTCTTCAACAAATCAACAAACCAGCAACAGGAAAGAAATCGATGGAGAGACCTGCAACAAGAAGGAAACCGGTGGAGAGAAACATGCCTGTGATGGATGGTGAGACGCAGAACCGATGGAGTGTTGAGAGAGGAGGGGTTAAGCCCACACTGAACAACCATATATGGCTATATGAATAAGCCATATCCATTATACAACCCATTAAGCTCCTACCGAACAACCCCTCAGAGAGTTTAACACAACTGTTGAAGCAAACTTTTCCCAAATCTCCAAAAATTCTAAAATAACATACTTGTTGAAAATACTCTAACAAGAGGAAGGAATATATTTAATGACGCGTTGAATCAAATATCAGAAATATAATATTATGGTTATTAAGTTTATGTCTTGTTTATTTCTTATAACGCGAAAGTGTTGGCAAAAGTATGCGAAGGATCAACATTTCTATTTCAGTTTTCTTGAATATTAATCATTTTGATTTTTTAAGTGCAACGTATGTTATAGATTAACTTAAAGAAACATAGATATACGAATCTTATAAAAGTTGTATAGATTATATTTAATGACACATAAACTAATCAGATATCCTTAATTCACCATAAAAAAAAAACTAAAGAGTTATTTGTTTACCTCCTAATAGTTCCATTAAAAGGCAGCATTTGAATCGTTAATAGCAAACAAATATACGGTTCTAAAAATATCTTTAAAATATATAACTGTTTGATAAAACATGCCCTAAGTTTTAACCCTCAACATTTTGTAGGGTGGGGTTTACTTGTTTGCTTTGTGTCAAATGATCTTTTATGGATAGACTAAAGATTAAATTTATCATACATTTTATGCATTCTTTTATTATATAAATTACGTTTTAATGATAATATTGATAATGACTAACATGTCGTTTATACAACACTTATCAGGTAATTGCTTGTCAAATCAATTACCTTGTTGGATGAGCATCGGATGAATCGAGAATCTTACCCGATAAAAATGAAGACAATGATTGAGAATCTTATTAATTAATTTTTACAAAACGAATGTTTTAAACATATTTTAAAATATTATAATATATAAATTCTACGTAATACCAACCACTTGATGGGATTTCAAAATCCTGTAACTTCAAATCTACTGAGATGAAATTCAAAACCAATAGTGCAAACCAAAGGTACAATAAGCAATGCATAGTGTACAACTATCCATAGGAAAGGGTGAATAGTGACATGAATATATAATATATATGAATATATATATATATATATATATATATATATATATATATATTGATGCTTATCTTGAAGAAAAACACACCCTACAAACATAAAGGTAGTGACAAAACGCCTCACATTCCTAAGCCATAACTGATAACACCCCAGGCCCCAACCCCAATCTCAAATTCAAGATTTCAAAATATAAAAAAGAACCAACCCAGTAAGTTAAACAATAAACCAAGCCAGCCAGTGGAGGTACACCAACTAATGCAAATGGTACAACCTCATCAATTAAGACACACAACAATTACATATGCTTTGCTAACCCCTATGCCTATGCTCATATATATATATATGTATAATATATATATATATATATATATATATATATATATATATANATATATATATATATATATATATATATATATATATATATATATACACTTGAATTGAAGAAAAACACATCAGTATGAAGTTGAAGCAAGAAACAAACAACTCACCTTACCAAAGCAATACATGTGACACCACATCTTTTTGCTCATAAAATCAATTTCTCAACAAATTTCAATCTTTATAATATTTCATTCTGGTAGCTATAATGGGTAAATAAGGAATATTATCATAACTAATTATACTTGGAAAAAGTTTTACTATTTACCCATCATCAAATTTTGTTTTTTGCCAAGAAGTCGCGGGTCAACATCACGACACGTTTTTCCTTGCGGTTTATAGTATTTTTCGACACATCCACATAAAAAGTGGGTGCAACGCAAAAAATAAATTGAGACGCCGTAGCTTGCGACACAAAAAGCAAGCCAAAGTCGCATCTTGTAGTGTTTCGCGTAGTTATGTTACGGTTTCTTGGTTGTTTTATGATAATAACACAAAAAACGAAATTATTGTGGTAGGATTTCTTGAATTTTCACTTTTCAGTTGCTTCACTGAGATATGCAGTTGAAACTTCCATGTGGGAAGATAAGGTACAACAACTAATGCAAAAGGTACATACATTCTGATCAGTCAGGATGCTTGAAACAACTTTTGCTTGTCCCTATGATGATACTTCAGTTGAGGAAAAACACACAAGTATAAAGGTGAAGCAAGAAACAAAGAATTCAGATCACCCAAGTTATACATGTGGCCAAGTGGGCCCCACCATCTTTTTGTGGGTTGTCTCTTTCCTGCTCTCACAAAACATTCTTTGACAGACTTCCATCTTCATAAGTCTTGATCATATTCACTCAGCAACCCCTCCTGTGTCTTCCAGGTAGCTTTCAAAAAGAGAGAGGGGTAAAAAAGGAAAGCATTTTAATGGGTTTTCTTGAATTTTTCATTTTTGTGTTAACCTTATTGAGAGGTTGCAAGAGCATTGATGATTCTCTTGAGCTAAATGATGATGTTTTTGGACTTATAGCATTCAAATCAGACATTATTGACTCATCATCTCATCTATCCTCATGGAATCAAGATGACAACTCCCCCTGTGCCTGGAAGTTCATAACGTGCAATCCGGCAACCGGCAGAGTCACCGAGCTGTCTCTCGCCGGCTTGAGTCTCTCCGGGAAGATTGGTAGAGGCCTCGAGAAGCTGCAGAATCTGCAGGCACTGTCTCTTGCTCATAACAATCTTACAGGCAACCTTAATCCTCAACTATCTCTCCTCACCAATCTTGAAAGGCTTAATCTTTCCGGTAACACTCTTTCCAGTGGAATCCCACCGTCTTTAATCAACTCCGGCAGGATAAAGTTTCTTGATTTATCTGAAAACTCATTATCAGGACCTGTTCCTGAGGAGTTTTTCTTAAGCTGTTCGTCGCTTCGACTACTCTCATTGTCCAGAAACAACCTTCAAGGTCCAATTCCTAGTTCACTTTCTCAATGCACCATTCTAAACCATCTTAATCTTTCCCACAACCGTTTTTCTGGTAACCCCGGATTCGCTACGAGTCTTTGGTTGTTGCCCCGGATCAGAACATTGGATCTTTCGCACAATGTCTTATCGGGTCAAATACCGAATGGTGCATTGGGTTTGCCTTACTTGAAAGAGCTTTTTCTGCAAGGGAATCACTTCTCAGGAGCTTTGCCTTCTGATATAGGTCTATGCTCACACCTAAAGAAGTTGGATTTAAGCAATAATCTCTTTACAGAAGAGCTTCCTGTTTCTTTCCAGGGCCTTTCTTCTCTAACTTATCTAAATCTAGCCAATAATATATTAACCGGTGAGTTTCCTCTATGGATCGGAAAACTGAACGGCCTGGAATACTTGGATATTTCGGGCAATGGTTTGACAGGAATACTCCCAACATCTATTGGTGGTTTAGGCTCATTGACTTATGTGAGCCTTTCTGGTAATAGTTTAAGTGGGAGCATTCCTACATCATTGATCTACTCCAGCAATCTGTCAGTGGTTCGATTAAGAGGTAATAGGTTCAATGGTAGCATACCAGAGGGTTTATTCGAGCTGGGGTTGAACCAGATTGATCTTTCAAGGAATCAACTGACTGGTTTGATCCCTCCAGGTTCAAGCAGACTTTTTGAGACTATTCAGTCTATGGATCTATCTGCAAATAGGCTTACGGGAGACATTCCTGCTGAAATGGGACTTTTCTCCAAGTTGAGATACTTGAACTTGTCATGGAATAATTTTGAGACAAGAATGCCCCTGCAGCTTGGATATTTTCAGAATCTAACCATGTTAGATCTACGAAATGGAGCTTTTCATGGTTCAATCCCTGGTGATATATGCAACAGTGGAAGCCTTGAAATCATGCAACTTGATGGTAATTCTTTAACAGGATCAATACCTGACGATATCGGAAATTGTTCATCACTCTACTTGCTGTAAGTCTTCCTTTAGCATCTTTAACCTTACATGTTGGGGGCAGAACTGTAATTTGAGCTTTTATTTTGTGGTATATGCAGGAGCATGTCTCACAATGACTTGCGGGGACCTATTCCAAGATCAATGTCGCTGTTGAAAAAACTCAAGATTCTCAAGTTAGACTCCAACCAGCTGAGCGGTGAGATACCACAGGAGTTGGGTGAATTAGAAAACCTCCTGGCAGTAAACATATCCTACAACAGGCTACAGGGAAGGCTTCCTGCTGGGGGAATATTTCCAAGCTTACAGCAAAGTTCTTTGGAAGGAAATCTGGGTATTTGCTCACCCTTTCTCAAAGGACCATGTAAGATGAATGTGCCAAAGCCTTTGGTTCTTGATCCATACGCCTACGGGAATCAAATGGGAAATCATCAAGGAGGAGGGGCTGAATCTTCAAAAGATTCCAAGCACCACAGATTTCTCAGTATTTCGGCCATCATTGCCATATTAGCATCTGTCTTGATCTCCATTGGTGTGCTGGTGATAAGCTTACTCAATATTTCAGCAAGGAGGCGGCTGAAATTTGTCAACACTGCCATTGAAAGTTGCTCAAGCTCCTCCCGTTCAGGACGCAGCCTATCGATGGGTAAGCTTGTTTGGTTCGATTCCAAGATTGCCCCTGATTGGGTTGTTAATCCTGAATCTTTGCTAAACAAAGCAGCTGAGATTGGGGGAGGTGTATTCGGAACTGTCTATAAGGCTTCATTAGGAGAAGATGGCAGAGATCTTGCAATCAAGAATCTTGTTGTATCAAACATGGTACAATATCCTCAAGATTTCGACAGAGAGGTTCGTGTTTTAGGGAAAGCAAGGCACCCTAATCTTGTATCCGTAAAAGGGTACTACTGGACTCCTCAGTTGCAGCTTTTAGTGACAGATTATGCACCCAATGGTAGCTTACAAGCCAAACTCCATGAAAGGTCACCTTCAACTCGACCTCTTTCTTGGCCAAAGCGGTTTAAGATCTTGCTGGGAACCGCAAAGGGGCTTGCCCACTTGCACCATTCATTTCGTCCACCTATTGTGCACTATAATATCAAGCCCAGCAACATTCTTCTTGATGATGATTTGAATCCAAAAATATCAGATTTTGGATTGACAAGACTTGTAGCAAAGCTTGACAAGCAAGCCGTGGGTAACAGGTTTCAGAGTGCATTAGGTTACGTGGCTCCAGAGTTGGCTTGCCAGAGCCTAAGGGTCAATGAGAAATGTGACATCTATGGTTTTGGGGTTTTGATTCTTGAGCTCTTGACTGGCAGACGGCCAATCGAGTATGGGGATGACAATGTCGTAATACTTAATGAACAAGTCAAGATCATGCTAGAAGAAGGGAACGTGCTGGAGTGTGTTGATCAAAGCATGGGGGAGTATCCTGAGGATGAAGTTTTGCCTGTTCTTAAGTTGGCATTAGTATGCACTTCTCAGATACCTTCAAGCAGGCCTTCCATGGCAGAAGTGATTCAGATATTACACGTCATCAAAACCCCCATTCCTCACAGGATGGAGGCGTACTGACTGCTAAGAGTGCTACAAACTTTTAACTTCGATTATGTATAATTGTGGTGCTTGTTTATTATCAACAATTAATGTTTCCTGCACTTGCACGAATGGATTTTGCAATTACTTAGCTTCCTTATAGTTCTTTCAACCTTTGCTTCCACCACCAACCTAAACTTCATATTTGTTTGTCCAGTTGCATATTTGATCCAAAATTTTACCTTAGAAAAAGAGTACTGATGTCTTGATGCTATTCATGCTTATAAGCCACCTAAAACAGACTTGACATCATGAAGCAAAAGAGCAGTACAGATATGAAATAATCAATGATACACATGAGACGCGATATCACAATCTATTATCAATTGCTGCCTTAAGAAACAATAAATTTGCAGGGTGTAATGGTACACCAGAAATTTGAATAATACATTTTAAAGTTAAGGAAGTAATACAGTTAACTGTCTAATAAAAGAACCAATAGAATCAGTAACTATTAAAATGTACAGCTAAAAAGTGAAGTAGATACTGGATGGGAAATGAAATAAAGATGGTAACACAAGGCAAAAAAATTGGAAGCTCAGTATCATTTCTCTCTTCAATTATAAGCTGAACATATAAGCCATATGCTCTAGACATGCAACTAGCAAAGGCTATAAGGGTTAAAAAAAATGAAAGATTTAACAATCTGGTGGTAATCTCACTGATCATTTCTTGTGGATGCTTGATCATGTGTTCATTTAAGAAAGAACTTCCAAATTTCTGCGTCTGTCGTTTCTTTAACTAAATGAGCTCCAAAAATACCTTCCTCGTCTACCAGGCTTCTTAATTGCCGTGCTGCGCTGTTGAAGCCAACATAATGTTTTTTTGTGGCAAAGAACAATGCTCCATAAGGAGGCTTCAAGCACTGATGATAAAGACGAACAACACAATTAAAAAGAGAACGAATGTAGTGTAATAAAATTTACAATCTAGGAGTTCAAACCACTAGCAACTCTAGAAAACAAAATATCACCTATTAAATGAATGATTAAGGAGTAAGATCATAAACAACTGGCAACTAAACACGTTGCGTCACTTGGCACCAAGACTAATGGCACCTTTTTTTGTAATTCCTGTATGCTTAACTTTCTAAAGTTGATAAATGCATCTAGTGATCTAGAGTGCTACTATTTGCTAGTTTCCATCGTCTGTTATTTCTAAAACAAACACCTCTGACTGGAGGAAAGGAACACCAAGAATTATTTGAGATCATAGATAACAGTTATCTGAACTGCTGAGCTAAAAGAATATCACAAGTTTTCAATGAGCGTGGTATATTACTTTGAAAATAAAGCATATCTTGTCAGGCAAAATAAAAAAAAGTCGATTGATGTCCTATTTCCATGTTTTCCAGCTGCTTTACTGCCTACTCTGATCTCACATTTCTGTAAAATTTATGCATGATTCCTTTCTGTCCAAATTGAAAGTGATAGCAAGTAACACAACTCACCTTTTTAATTAATGCAAACAGCTTTTTCAAAGAAGTTGCTGAATGAGGAATATCAGTCATCAATATGACGTCATATCCTCCTCCAATGTCTGTGTCATTAGCCCTCTCCCAGACCCTACTTCCTGAAAGCCTCGTTGATCGCCTCGAGGAATTTTCTTGTCCCATGATGCTACCATCATGGCTACTAAATCCATCCATAAAATCCTCCTCCGAGAAGCTGAGGTTCGTTGGTGGCGGCACTTCCAGTACATTGTTCTTTACAACAGATAAGACTCCAGCAAGCTCTTCCCACTGTCCAGCATAAAAGTGAACCACAGGGGAAAGAATCTGCCTTGACGGTGTAAGGGGACTCTCAGGCTGACGGCTCTGCCTGTCCCGAGCCTGCTCAAGATTGACCAGGACATTTGGGATAGTTGTGCATCTTATAGTTTCGGCATTTAAATCTTGAAAGTGTACTGTTGAAGCTCCCTGCAATATGTTATAAAACAAGTTCAAAATTAGAACTCTCAGAACATATCTTATTGTGGTATCCATCTGAACAAATCTTTCTTACTCAGGATCATCATACTGATCTACATTTGAGCTTTAGTGTAAAATGTTTAAAGTGTTTGAACACAAAACACAGACTGTTACCTATGCATGGGATTTACCCTAACCCTAGGGTCAATTTTTGGTAACAAAAGTTTATGAATTTCCGTAGTAACTGTAGTATTTTCATAATTAAGAAATCCTCTAAAAAGGACTTGTAGAAGTTAGGTATTGTGCTTGAAATGATTTAAGAGAGATTCTAGGTTATATTAGGAATCTTTGGTAGAGACTGCCAACCTCTCATAAGTTGGACAACCTTTTTGTTCATTATTAGTAAATTTATTCAATAAACTTGTCCGGGTCCCATCACACACACATTGAAGAGAAGTAAAATCGGAATTGATAATAATAAAGCACAACTGATGGTACCTTCAGACAAGCAAAGATCCCTGGGATTCCATAGCCACAACTAAGCTGGAAAAAACAGAAAAGAGAAGGTTGGTAAATTCTTAATACAGAGTAGCATCAAGGAATATCTTGTAAAACAGCACCAATATCATAGTGTAATCTTGATGTGATTTATAGAGTAAATCGAGGTAGTCTTAAACTGAGTATACCTCAAGCACCCTTTTGCCTCTGAAGCTTAGCTGTCCATCCCGAATCTCATGCTTAAGGATGTTAACAAGTTCAAACGAGCTATCCCAGGATTTCAAAGATGCTGCAACAAAATTAAGTTAGATTCTAGGAAAGTTAAATACATAAGAAAATATGACCCATTCACTTTCCAAAGTAAACAATTATAATGCCCCATGTTGGTGCACAATGTTGTACACTTTGAACATTGAGGAGTGGTGCAAGATTGTACTTACCATCAGGTTTTGATGAAATCAACTCTGTGCCTATAAGATCTGAGACACTAACTCTGCCCTGCGTTAGAAATACAGAGGACCTATCAAATACAACTACATACACTCTAGTATACATATAATCAATGTGGCAAAGCAGCTTTGATGCTAACCACAACTCTGATCCATAGTGTATTTAATATAGAACATGATTACTTGCAAATCTGATCCATAGTGTATATAATATACAAAATCATCAAAGCATCTTTAACCTGATTACCATCTCAAAAGATATATATCACATTCATGTTACATCATGTATGACTACTAGACAAGACTACTGAAGAAAAAAAAACAGATATGTAGAACATGGTGTCCAACTACTGGAAACCAACTTCTAACATGGCAAAGCAATCATGATATCTTTATATGACATGGCAAACGCCCAAAAACATATGTCATAACACATAATATTTCTTCTTTTGTGGCAGCATAATCATTTAACACTTCATTTCAACATCAGGGCTATCCCTTAGAGTTCAATCAATTGACACAATCTGATCTATTTGAATCCCAACAATGAAACTATGAAGGACCTAATAAAAATGAGCAATGGGAGATATAACTCACCTTCAAGAGGTTTACTCCTTGCCCGTCTATGCTCTCACCAGCATATCTGTGCGGGTATCCCATCTGCACAGAGAGGAATGCACTTGAATATTTAGAGTAACAGGAAGTTATATCAAAAGAATACTGTGAATACAAAGACCCAGGTGTTGGTGATTTTAGTGTCATCAACCATTTGGTGTAATTGAGATGTACTTGAGATTGATTAAGGTGATGAGGCAAACATAAATGAGTTAGGAGCTGCGGAGTGCACACTCACACATGTTTATCACCTTAGATCGCCATAAGGCGGTGGTCAAGGGGGCTGCGCCCCTTTGCGGGGGTCAAGGGGTGGTACCTCTAGTGGGGTTCCAAGGAGCAGAGCCCCTTGGGGCTATAAGTCTGGATAGTGGATTCAGAGATCTGAAACATGGATCCCGATCAATGGAATCAGAAATCTGAACCTTGAGTTCAGACTTTTAAGTTCCCGGACTTAAGAAAATTAACTCTTAAGTCTGAACCAATGGGGTCAGAGATCTGAACCAATGGTTTCAGAAATCTGAATCTTCAATTCAGACTTGTAGTTTGCTATCAGACTTAGTTCCCAATGGAGTCAGACTTCGATATCAAACTCTGATTCGGTTGTAATTGCTCTTCAATCTAATCTATTAACCGTCATAACTGCCTGTAACCGTCGATCTCTCATATAAATACATAAAACATGATATGATGAATATATATATATATATATATATATATGAGATTAGTGCCTTATTTCGTGTATGAAAATTCTAGATTATCGCGGTACTGATTACGTGTTAACCTAGGCATTTGAGGGGTGAAATACAATATTTGGAAAGTGATTTCCAATATATGATCTAGAAATTTATCTAAGTTTTACAGCCACAAAACCCATATTCCCAACACCAAGTTGCGTCACATAGAATAAATAAAATACCTTAGAGGGTATAATCTCAACAGCTGGTGAAGGCAGATGCATCTCCTTATCAGATGCGATGGACATGCTTTGAGCTACCCAGTCATGGGGCGCCAAGCCAGGCAAACATTGTGTAAACAATGATGGTGCACGCATTTTAGACAAACACGTGAAGATCTGAACTGTTTTAGAAGAAAAACCAGTAATCACAATAACTTGATCAGAATATTTGAAGCAATGAAGAATAATCGCATGGATATCAGAATTTCGGATACACACCGACTGACTGACACACACACACAGAAAAAAAGGACACATGGAGGTTAAAAATACAATGAATTAAATGAATCCTGAAACAAGGATAATCAGAACCAAGACAAATCTTTAGTATTACCAAACAAAACTACAATGACGGATCTAATGTATTGCTTCTCATCAGCAGTCCAACATGACTCTATTCTCCACCATATTTACCCCCTCTAAGAATGACTAAAAGCTATCCTATCATCCTTGAATAGAGATAGAGTTATGGGCATTCATATTTGATTATTCTTGCTCCTTGCCCCTACGGTACCTCAAGGGAAATTCTTAAGCCTTTTCAACATGAACTTCCTATCGTCCTTGTAATCTAAATCATGTAGGCTTTTACAGCATAATACATAGTGCACATATTTAATTAGATATTAAAAATGTTATGCTCCTAACTTCCTAAGTACTTTCTAAATATAGTTATACCTCATCACAAAAAAAATTGCACCAGAAGCATGTGGTTATATAACCTATTGAACCATTCGACCAACAATGCATCCACCCACTCACCCTGGTAAATTGTAAAGTGGGTTTTAAGCTCTCAAAAAGATGTCAAGGGAGTGGCATAGTGATGAATATTTTTATTGATAAAAACCAACTTCGTGTTGATCAAAACACATAACCATACAGCCATCTAACTCCACAGTTTTTCGAGCAATACGAAACCAAAAGATAAAAAACAGACACAACATCGCGATCATTATCAATGTAAATCGGGTTAAAGCTAATAAACAACAGTTACCACAAACAAGAATACAAAGTGAAAAGTAGCACATTCTGTTGGGAATTGCAATACGAACAGAAAACTATCAGATCAAAATAAATCCAACTCCAAAAAGCTAGAATAAGCATCAAACTACTGGTTCTAAAAACAAAAATATCAAAACACTAGTCACTCACCACAGGTCGAATCCCAGAATATAAAACCAAAATATAAACAGATGATTGGAATATTGAATCAGTCAATTTCATTTACAGCCAAACTCAACATAAGGTAACCGAATCATCAGACCATTAACAACAAGATTCAAGAAAAACAACAGAATTATCAAAATTGATGTGAACAGGAGCATAAACATACCAAATCAACAAAGAAAGAACTGAATCACGATCCCTGGATGCAAATTAGCAGGAAATGATGCAATTGCATAGAAATTGTAGGGTTTTGGTCAAAAGAAGCACCAAATCGAAGAACAGAAGCTTTGGTAGACAGACTTGCGTTTGAAGCTGTTGTGAATATGTAATATATTATTTTAAATTACGGTTATATCCTTTTGACTTTTTCGAAATGGAAAGGAGTCAACGTAGGTTTGGTGGTAGATTAAGTGGAAACGTGAGGGTAATATGGACTACAACTTTTGCGGTTGGTTGCTGGTAAAAAAAAAAGGGGAAGGAGGTGGAGCACCTTCGTCTCTGGCCACGTGCATGGCACGTAATTCTTGTGGTGGGTAGAATAGTCTTTTTCTTAAAATCCAAAAATTACGTAATGTCTTACCACACGTATTTTAAAATGTCATAAAACGATTTGATACTTTTTTTATTAGAAATATTTTTTTTAGAGCATTATATCAGAAATGTTTTAAAAACTATAAACCAAATGTGGATAAAACGAACAATATATGATATAGTTAGCATATAAATGTTAAATGGTTTGTACGTACATTTTGTGTATTAAGGGGGTGTTTGGGATTGCTTATTCAAAATAACTTGTGTTTTTTTTTTTTTTTGTAAAAATGTTTTATCAACTTATGTGGTGTCAAACTGGAGTTTTATAAAAAAATGTTTGATTAGCTTATGACGGTACTAAAATGTAATAAGTTGATAAGTTATTCTTTAGTGTTTGACAAATTTTGCTTATACATGTAAAATGTTCAAAAAAAAGACATTTTTATCGATTAGGGTTCTTTATTTGACACATCTTTCTAACACCATTCCCATATATACATATCGGATCACCAAGATGATGAATCGAATTCACGTGAAAGCAATGGGTGGGTTTATATTTCTTCTCCATAGTTTTCATTTTGGATAAACTCCAGTCACAGACTATTTCTTTCTACATACTGATCGATTAGGGTTCTTTCTTCTGCCTCCGTCAATTTCTTCCTTCTTGGAGGAGGCATCGTCAAGAATTGGTTTTCTGTAAGTTATACTATATATACTCATTCAAGAACAAAAACATATTCGATCTTTACACAAATTCTTGACGGTGAAGAAACCCTAATATATATGTTTACATGTAATTAGACACAAAAGTAACGATTTGAAAAGTGAAAATACTACTGACCTTGGATGGTAAAATTGGGAGCTGTAAGTTGCGATTAGGGTTCGAAAGGTTGAGGATTTATGAGTTGTTGAACTGATGTTTGATTCGGTTAAAAGAAGCTCAAGAAGAAAGAAAGAACGAAAAGAGTCAAAAAAAAGGATAAAAATGTAATTTGGTTTTCAAAGTTGATAAGTTGTTTCTGATAAGTCAGAAATGAGTAACTTATTAAACCTTATTACCGGTTTGACCCCGGTATAAGTCTTTTCTTTTATTCCCATCCAAACACTAAAAACTGCTTATTACCAGTATCACACCAAAATAAGTTAATAAGCAATTTAAATAAGCAATCCATAACACCCCTAATTGTTTGCAAGGCCATGTTTCACCCGTTAAACTTAAATCGACCAACATAAGATGTTAGAAATCTAAGATAGAACGAAAATGAAAATGAAAATGAGTTTTGGAACTGGATTTAAGTTCAAGACGAATGTATGCAACCATCATGTACGTGACCCAATGATACTATTCACTAACATCAACATTAAAATGGTAATTTGTTGTCATTCAAAGAACAGTTACCAAACAACATTATTTCATTCAGCACTTAACCATTCTGGCCCTCTTAACCATTCTTGACCACTTAACCATTCTACACCAAACCATTAAACAACCGTCAAACATCCCCTTATACTATTCACTAACACCAAAATAATGTAACAATTGGTTAGAGTGAATTTGATGAATTGGTATAGAAAATGGAATTTGGTACACCTCCAATTCAACCCCAAAACCCAAAAATGTATAATTTGGTTTAACCGTAGTTTAAAAATAAATAATAACTGAAAACCAAACCGAAAAACTCTAAACTCATTCAAATTGGATGGGTTATTCAGTTTCGGTTTTTTCCGACACTCCACGACAAAAGTAATACTTGGATATTATCTCAATCACGTAATCATCGGGGTTGTGGAAGAGAGCCCGTCACACACTTGATGTCCATCCCTCCAGGTTTGGGCAGAAAATTGATACCTACACAGGAACCTCAACAAAAAAAATTAAAAAAAAGGTCAAGAGGACTTCTATGTTCCTGGGTCTTTGGATCATAATCTAACCACATGGAAAAACCAATGAAAGTAACAGCAGCAACATCCTTACCACCCATGAAAGAGCAGAGAAACATGTCATCTAGGGGCTGTTTAAAAAATGCTTACTGGGTGAGCATAATAATAACTGAGAATCTTACATCGTGAGGGAGAAGACTCTTAGGGGTTGTTTAGTTGGTTTTTCATTAGGTTTGTATTGATTAATTTGTCTGTGTGGATTAATCTGTCTGTATAAATTGAGATGATTTTTCATATATAGAAGGAGTGTGTTCTTTAATTTGGTGGGACATGTTTGGAAAAAACTCGGCTTTCTGTATAGAACTCCCCCCATAAGCTTACTGAACAAGCCACTTTCTATATCATTAAGCCACTACCAAACTGTCATGTATAGCTGACCAAACAAGGAGTGATCCCCATACAGCTCATTAAGTTGCTAATAAACAGACCCTTATACGGTTAGAGCTTACCAGGAAAAAGATGCTTACCACATTCCATTTTGATGGCCGAGAATATTATCCAATAAGGTAAGTAAGAGAGGTTACTTTAAAAAAAAATCTTTTTGTTAACTTCACGACTTCTTAATTTATCATAACTATTATATGGATTTCCGATACATCTCCAATTTTCAGCCCATTCAATATAAAACTTAATTGCTGGTAAGCGTTTGGTCATCATTCTCTAATCATCACAATTTACGTTTTAAGAAGATTAGCAATGTGCAGGTTGGTTATGTAAATTTATACATACCCTCCTTCCCTTATAAAAAGATAGAATTAATCCTGAATCATGCTAGACAATCTATGGGCTCATCGAACAAAAGGGGACCTTTTGGTATCAAGGTGCAACTCAGAATACATCCCAATCTGGGAAATTTTAAACATATAAATTTTAACGATCCACAAGGACAAAGACAACCCTAAGCAATATCATCTTCTTGAACATTGATACTATGCACTCAATATCATAACTCCAAAAAAAGTGTAGAATTGTAAAAACGTCTTTAAAACACAACGACAAGAGAATGTAAATATAGCTTAAAAAAGGTTGGAAAAAACCATGGGATCATGTAATTAGTAAAAATACGAACGCCAAAGAGTATATTTTGACTAATGGCCATCCATAAGTAGCAAGCACACCTTGTGTTTTACATACTTCTCTAGTAGACAATAATAGATGATAATTGCAACATCTGATTTGGGTTTGGGACATAAAAAGGTAAGATATTTGACTATTGGTAGAATGTATGAACTACATTTAAATGATAGAAAAATAAAGAAATTTTGTAGATTAAAATCAAGATCAATATTTTGTAATGACAACAAGGAAATAGGTAATTGTAACTTGAAAACTTTCAAAAAAATAGACATGTTTGCAATATTCAAGGGATATCACAAAATTTTGTTACAACCTATGCTGTTATATCGGTCAGAATACGAAATATCGGTCAGGACCGATATTCGATATATCGGTTATATCGGTGATATATCGGTGATATATCGGAAATATCGGTTAACATAATATTTCTTAGAATTATATATATATAATATGCATTAATTAGAGTTTAGAAATATAGTTTCAAAATTAAAACATCACATCATTTAAAGTGTTCAAAAACAAGCTAATCGCAARCAATAGGTTCGGAGTAGTCCGTCGACTAGAAGAAAAACAGAGGAGATCGAGAAGAGAGCTGGAGTGGCTTGGGCGCTTGGCTCTGTGTAAGTCGTACCGAGAGAAGAAAAGCGAGAGAGAAAAGAGAGAGACCGAGAAAGAAGTCTGACTAAGTTTAATGTTAGATTTAGACCTAATTTACTAAGCAGCCCAAAAAACTAAGGCCCATAGCTTAAAAAAAAAGCCCAAATTTTAACCCTTGTAAAAATCGGAATATCGGACCGATTTTTCACTAAAATATCGCTCAAAATATCGTCAAATATCGCCAAATATCGCCGATAATATCGTTGGCGATATTTTGGCCGATTTTTCATGAACGATTTTTTTTTTTCAAGCGATATCCGATATATCGCCGATATATCGCGATTTTGACAGCATAGGTTACAACATTCATAAGAGGGGGAGTTTAGTGATCAAGCCATTTGATGTCTCATCTTGTGACCCTATTATAGGAGATACTATAGTTTGAGGCAACTCACTTAGGTGAGAATTAATAAGTAGGGTTAACTTAATGGATCAAATGTAGTAATGGTTTAAAACAAGATGACCGATATGAGGAAAACAAAAGGGTTACCTGAACCTGAGGCGTTACTCTACCGGTCAACTTCTCTGCCAGTATTGGCCAAAATGCACTCAATTCCTCATGAACCTGATCATATGTAAGCTTTGCCTCAGAATGACAAATAACTATTATGCATAAGAGGAAATTTGAAATTTCCTGAATTTAAATAAAATTAGTAGCATGGATAAAGATCTAAATTAAGAGATTGATGGGTACAGCAACTTACCAGCTTGATCACCTCCATGTGGATTCAAACGGATAAACCTCAAGATTGAGCAATAGGTTTATCTTCTTGAGCAATAGGTTTATCTTCTAGTAACACTTCTATGCAAGCAACTACTGATTTTGCTAAGGAGGTGAGGAGGTATCCTCCTTCCAACGCCATAAGAATCATTCCCCTGCTAAATTCATCAACTAGACAAAGCAACAAGCACCAGAAATACCATTAAAATGGTGGTTCTTTTTCTTGAAACAGAGGTAGCCGAAGACCTTTGTATACAAATTAAACTTGCTCCCTTTGATATAGGCCAGTGAACGAGAAATCAAAACAAACATCATTGAATACAAATTCATTGGTACCAAATGAATAAACTACAAGGCTCCCTATTCCCCCACATTCTTATGTATCTTTTCATGCCCTTCGACTACCTAATGGCTATGTTATTTGATCAGCAAAAAATGGAACAAAACAATCTTGGATGAGAAAAGAGTAAACCATTAGTACACACCCCTCCATGAATGCCACTTCAGTTTCAACTGGAACAACAAAGGAGGAATGCCCAAAATCCCTCGATTTAGCCTCGAGTCAAAGACATCAAACCCCACACGACTTAGAGAATCCAGAATAACTTGTGAAGGCACAGCAGGCAAAAGTATTGATCGAGCTTCTTTAGGAACTGATTCAGCCAAGGCACGGGCCTTCTGTAAATGGGCATTAGCCGTGGATGCCATATCAAAAACCACCTCACTGAGTCTCTCACGTGAATCTGTTCGTATCTCCAACCTCCCTCCTTGCTTTACTAGTAATCCATGCTTTTCAGCCACCTTAACTGGTATATAAGAAAACTGCTGATGACGGTTGGCGTGGTAAGGAAGGGCCTTGATGAGCAAAAGTAGACCACTTGCCTTGCCGATATGTGAAGCAGCATGATCCGCAGCAGTTGATCTTATACCACCTGCTTGGAGAGTTGTATACAGAATAGTTGAGGACGTATCTTCAGCATATCTCTCCAACTCTTCTACTGTTTCATAGATATCACTAGCATCCCTTTGGGCGTCATTTATACGAGCGTCAACAGACCGTTTCAACCAGCTCTTGCTAATTTTCTGATCAGATATTACAGATGCAAGAGCCTGGGCTGTAGGGTGTTCAATGACCTTGTTCTTATAGATTTTGTCAATGACCTCCTGCCACCAAAGAAGACGCATCAAGCCAATTTTGGGGTCAGAAGTGAGATCCATTGCTCTGGATGTCTCGACGTTGAAGGCACGGAGAGCAAAACCAGCCCTACGCATGTTTGTGGGAAGTTCAAGAAGGCAGAGGTAGTGATGGTAGTCATAGTTCCGGACTTGTTGTACACAGTGTGAGAATGCCACCTTTAAGCTGCTAGATGTGGTAGCTCCATTCATCGTTCCTCGCTGAATGAATGTAATTTGATTAGCATATTAACCAACCACCTGTAGGCCTAGCTTTAGTACAAGGCTACTTGCTAAATGAAACATATAAAAGAGCAGAGAATAAGAAACTATAAGTCCAGAATATATATTTCCATGTGATGACTAAATCTTACATTGCATTACTTCTAAACCAATATCATCTATTGACTATGATAGAGTAGACTTTTACAATGAGAACAAGAGAGAAAACAATTCAAAGGACCAATAGTGCCTTTACAAACCCAATGGTATATGCTTCAACTCAATTGCTTGAAGGATTAATCACTTCTATTTTGTCCCATTACCTGATTCGATTCGATTGTTGATCAATTATAGAATACCAACTAGCTTTAGTCATGATCAAGAAGTACATATTGGTAGGCAAAATAGGCAATCACTTGCATGATCTTCACACAGAAGTCTAAAACATAGTATGTTTTGCCACTCAGAGCAAAAAAGCTCGGTAATCATGCATTATTGATATATTATAGCACTATCATGCGGAATCAAGAGTCATGTAACAAAAAGATGTCCCATGATAATTGATCTTGAACAGTCAAATACCTAAACCTTACACCCACGAAGACCCAAACTTTCTTCGTCATCATCCCTCCATATGAGATAAGATTGGAGTGACTAAACTAGTAATCTCAGATGCAAAACTAATATCAGGTAGACTTAGCAAGAACATTAATATGGGGCACAAAATACCAAATGTTCGAAATCCCTAAACCCCCAAATTCCAGAAACCTACTCAAATCACACGCGCTATTCTAAAGCACACTTACGAATCAAGCGCAACATGAAGCACAATTGCATAGACGAATTGAAAAACATACCTGATCAGTGATCAGTGATCAGCGAGAGAGAGAGCCGCACCTGCGGAGTGTTTAACGCCGCCGAGATCTGTTTAAGCGTCCAAAGGGCACGTGAAAAAGCGGTGGTCCGTAAACAGCATCTTTCCAATAGAATCTTTGTAAATTATGTTTTTAGTCCTTTGGGTTCGTTAAAATTTACAATTTTTGTCTCTCTATTTTTGAAATTAAAATTTGTTATTATTTCCGTTCCTATACTTTATAAATCATTGTTATTTTAGTCTCACACTTATAAAGTAAGACTTAATCTTACATTGTGTTCTCGTAGGGTTTTAGAACCATTAAGATACAGACTTTTTTTTATCACACAAGATTCACATCTTAACGATTCAAAATTATCTCTTAATGAAACTATTAAGAAGTAAACAAACAACACCTAAAAAGTTATTTTCTTTCTTTTATTAAATTACAAAACAATCCAACCTTTTCATCATAAATCATATATATTTTTAAATAGTATATTTATAAAAATGGGAAAATTGCACCAAAATGGAACCAACTTTCACCTAATTCTTATTTTGGAAAACCAATTTTCAAAATCGTCATTTTGGGGAACCAACTTGCATCTGATTTCTATTTTAGGGAACCAACTTGCATCTGATTCTTATTTTATGGAACCAACTTTCAAAATCGTCATTTTGGAGAATCAACTTGCACCTGATTCCTATTTTGGGGAACCAACTTGTAAAATAATTACAGAAAAATAAATAAAATTCGTTTTTTTTCAAAAATTAATGCAATAAATCTATTTTTCGTTTCAAATCTCGTTTTTTTTATTCAGATATCAAATTGAACATTTTTAAAAAAATTCAAATTACCACAATAAAAATTGTTTTCTACTAATGCAAAAAAAATCAATTTAATAGAAAAAATTTAATTAATGCAATAAAATATAAATATTAAATATCACATTCAAGATTTTTATATCTAACCAATTGCATCAATTAAATTTTTTCTATTAAATTATTTTTTTTTTTTTTGCATTAGTAAAAACAATTTTTATTGTGGTAATTTGGATTTTTTTTTTAAATGTTCAATTTCATATCTGAATTAAAAAAACGAGATTTGAAATGAAAAATAGATTTTATTGCATTAATTTTTGGAAAAAAAACGAATTTCAGTTATTTTTCTATAACTATTTTGCAAGTTAGTTCCCCAAAATAGAAATCAGGTGCAAGTTGGTTCCCCAAAATGACGATTTTGAAAGTTAGTTTCATAAAATAGGAATCAGATGTAAGTTGGTTCCCCAAAATAACGATTTTGAAAGTTGGTTCCCCAAAACAGAAATTAGGTAAAGTTGGTTCTATTTTAATACAATTTTCCTTATAAAAATAATATATATTTCATTTATTTTCTCCCAAATTCAAGAACATAAAAAGTTATTTTCTTTCTTCTATTTTCCTTTCCTTGTTTTTTGAGAATAAAAATTTTTTTAAAAAAAATGTTTTCTTTTCTTCTGTGTTCCCTCCATTTCTTTTTTTTGTCTAAATTCAAGAACAAAAATAAAATAAATTATAAACCATAAAAATAAAACCGCTATTTTAATATACACAAAAACAAAAGAAAATAAATTCCAAAGTTTTGAATAAAAAAACATTTAAACATTTAATATCTCATTAAAATATTAATTTTTATGTTATTTTATCCAAAATAAATAATTAAAATATTGAGAAAATCATATTTTATTCATTTTTAAAAAAAATCTCTATTTTCAATGATAAAATGAGTAAATAAACACAATAAAATTGTTGGTTTGCAAAAAAATGATATTTTGTTTTATGTTATAAAAACGTAGGTTATATTTTACAACATTCAGCATGCATACCAACATTTGAGACAAAAGAAAGTTTATACATTAAAAGAAAAACCAGTACGGATCAGCCCGATCGACTAACCGATTGCTCCTTGTTTTTTTCTCCCATAGACAGGGACCGGTTCATGCTTTTTGGAGGATGAGACCAGGACCAGTTAGAACCGATCCAAGGACCACAAGTGAACCAGTTTGCCCATCTATGGCTAGGCCTAAGAGACAAGCCAATGACCAAGTAGCACAACTACGCTTACTTCTGCTACTTGTATCATGACTCGTCGTGCATCGTGATCTGCTTACCGACAGTTTAACACATGGTACAATGACATAAACAAGTTTTTTCTATCAACTCCGTTACAACCTTGACAACAAACCCCATTTAAGTAATAGTAGTAGCACAATCCGTCCAAAATCACTCCACTTCAAAAGAAAACCCTTCGAATCTACATCTTTGACCAAGAACCAACCAACAAGAACAAACCAGCAAACCAACGGTTTAACCGATACACCTAGCCGTTGCCTAGGTGGCATCTATATACACCCCCCCCCCCCAACCACCCACATCACAACCTATCAGCAAAAGACTAACTAGCCAACAATTGCAAGTTTGCAGCATACCTGATGTCATCCAATCTTTTCATCTTTGCTTCAAGGGTGTAATATGCAGTCTAATGCAAGTAATTATCGAGCATTTTCACCGGCTGGTGTGGCACATCTGGCACGATGTGACGGTTTTTGGGTTCATATAGGTGCACTGATCACACGACCAGCCAGTAGAATCATCATTTCTGCTTGCGGCTCCACCCTTACTGGACGCTTTTCCTTTTCCGCCTTTCCCCTTGCTCGTCCCTGCAGCGTTCTTCGAGCTACTTGTTTTGCTTGAAGCTCCATGTGCATCCACGTCGGATAGCCCGTTTTCTAGTGCTCTCACCAAGTTCTCAAAGTAGTTGCGTGTCACACTGTTTAGTGAACAAATACACGTTTTTAGCACATTTATTCGACCATTATTTGAACACTTTCTTAAGAGTGTACTAAACCAGATCAAGGGATTATGAGCCCAAAAAGGGTCGACCCCCTAAAGAAAGAGAAGATCTAACAAAACCAAACAAGTAGGTCGCACTTGTAAGTGGCGTCTTGGGGTGAGATGTACGCAGAACTGTCCTCCACTCAGAAGAGTAGAGCGGTTGTTCCCGTGAAACACCTGGCTTGCGGAAAAGCGTTTGCAAAAAGATTTTGGTAAAATGCCACCGAGTGCTTCAAAAAGTTGTCAAAAAAATTTGGAAGATGTTGAAAAGATTGTAAAAGGTAAGACACGTTAAACAAAAATTGCATGCATATATCGATGATGAAAACTTGATATAACAATTACCTAGTCAAACCGGCCAACTTTGTTCTGAAATTATTGAATTCATCTTGAGAGGCATCTTCATTTAGGTAAGTATGTAATTCCTTCTCTGCACATTGATGAAGCCTTTCTAAACCAGCCTCTGCTTCACCTGCCATGTATAAAGTTTTGCCAAACCGTCAAAGAAGGGAACATGCTGCGCTCATACTCCCTCCATCCCAAAATAAGTGTCCATTTTCAAAAGTAAATGCCTACTTTCCAATTCTATCTCTTAACTATGATATGGAAAACTTCATTACTCCCTTATTATTAAGGGCAAAACTGTCATTTCATTAATTAAGAGTGAAATAATTACACATTTATATTGGGAAGTTGGGAGTACATTTTTTTGTAAAATGTGGGAACCTGACATACCTTGTAAGTACTCAAAAAACTGTCTTTTTGCATGTTCTTGCTCTGGTAGGTAGTACCCGTATGCATAGGTCCATTTCAACACACGCCTGCATTCAACTATCTGCAGTAGGAAACCATAATATCATTCATAACAAAATTTACCAAGTAATAAACCATTGCTTGAATAGTTGACCTATACATATAGAACAAAAAAGTATTAACAACAAATTGACATGGATAACAGAAAACCACTAGAAGCATAATACGGCTAATCGTCAAAACTGCTAGCTGGAGTAAGCCAAAAGCACGATATAAATGAAGAAAAGAAAAGAAAATGTGGGTTCAGCCATTTAAGATTGCGAAAGGACACAAAATAGAAAAAAATAAAAAGAAATAGAACATCTAGAATAAATGAGCTCCCACAAGACTTGAACATGACGAATACTCGAAGATTTCGATATTAGGCATACCTGCAACCAAGCTTCTATTATGAATTTCAATTGTGTCTCAGGTTGGCACTGCTTCTCACTAAGTTTTGCGAGCTGAAAAAGAAATACATAGAAAGATAAGGACACATGTAGAAAAAGAAGCACTTTGAATAAATAATATATAGGCAAGAAATCAAACAAAAAATGCAGGGTCATCTTGCTTTTTTCCAGAAATAATTCACAACAATGTTATTATAGAAAAAATGCCACCCGTATTTTTATGATTAGGTTCATTGAATAAAAACAACAGAAAGCATCTTGCCAGAAGGTGAGTAAAACATATACAAGTTCTCATGTAATCATTAAAAATCGAATCACTGAAGCAAGCAGAACCTCACCAAAACCGTTGGTGTCATGTTGTACTTTGTATATCATACCAAAAACTTCATGTATTGTATCAAAAGATAGGATTTGGTAATAATAGAAATATATAACTCATAACCAGATTGAGTTTGAATCATTTCTAGGGTTGATGATATAGCACTAAACTACATTTTTTGGGGCTGATGCAACTTTTTAACTTAATGACGAGCTGGCACATAATATTTGGGAAAAAGGGTTTGCTTTACACTATCTGCCAGACTGCTACAATGCTTGACCATGTAAAGCTGATTTTTTTTCTGAAACAGCAAACAAACTTACGCACCCATGTCTCTAAAGAACATTAAGGTTGTAGAAACTTGACTCACACACCCATCCATATAAAGCTGATTATGCCATTTTACCATTTATCAGACTTAATTACCATCGAGTATAATACACAGATATGAAAGAATAGACTAGTGATTCATCATATTGTAGATTATTGATATGGAACCTGGCTTTCTTCTCTACCGTTATCATGTTTTGCCAACTAAAAGAATTTTAGCTTCATGAAATAAAATAAAAAAAGGTATTTGCCCCCTCTGGAGCGGCCCGTACCACTGAGGCAACATGCAGGGACAATTTTAGTGATTCATGAGACCACTATAAAAAAATAGTTTGCACATTGAGGATGAGAATGTGGGTTTGTGAAGAAAATCATCTCAGGAAACCAAGGAAACAGAAAGAAAGAAAATGTAGCGGTGAGATCATTGAGTATAATTAAAGGGGTGGAAAGAAAACAACAAAAGGTCTTTGCATTCTAGCAGCTGTAGCACCTTCTCCATGCTATATCAAAATGGAAACATAGACTTCTATAGCTCATGTAAAGATAAAAGCATCAAAATTTTAACTTACATGAACTGTTTGCATCTGATGCAAATCCGCAAGAGCTTTTTGCCTCGACTGCCAATGTGAAAAAAACAAAATATCATATATCAGATACACAAATGTACATAAGAGAAAAATGCATTCATTTCCGAAAGCAATGTAAGAGATTAAGTGATTACAAATAATTATAACACGCAACTTGCAAAAAGATTGATGAAGCACAAACCATTAATCCGACAACCAAAAATGACACAAGAAAGTTTATAGCGAAACTGTGATCATCAAACCATTTACATGGACAATTCGAGGGTTTTCAAAGGTTCAAGTGGATTTGACAGATAAAACACGCAATGGGAATTGAATAGTATACGATGATATAGAAATGGAACACTACAATTTTATGCCCATGTGGTCACACGAGAAGAATACTGAATGACCAACTTGTGCATACCGATTGGTTTGTAGCCCAGCGTTCATAATAGTGGGTGTATCGCTCTAAGGAATTCTTTGCCATCTCTCTTCGACGTTCAGACTCATCATACTGCAAGCGGAAGTGGAATTACAAGATCAAAGATTTGAGACTTCAAGAGAAAGAAAATTGATAATGCCTGATTGGTATGGAGCAAAATATGATAGGTTTTATTACCGCTCCCTCTTGCTTCGCAGATTCATAACGGTTGCAAGCATAAAAGCCACCAGTTCTCTCTCCATGATCCGACCATTGGCCAAGGCACAACCTACATGTGCAATTTTAGAAACATATCAGAATCATCAGTAGATGTACAAAGAACACCAATGAATAAGGGTGCATTCACATTGTTGCACACATCAATTGAGTGGAGGATTCTCAACAGGAAATACCTAGAAGAAATAACAGACAATAGCAAGAAAGGTGCCTCAATATGTACAGCATAAGCAAGCAAAACTTACCAGCAAAATTCATATTTGCAGGGGGGGTTGCATGTCATGTGCATACAACCTTGGTTCTTCTCAATTGGACGCTTGCACTTTGGACAAGGCTTAGAATTGGCTAGAATCCTGAAATGCATTACATGAACATCAACTCGAGAAAATATATAATTCTACGACAGGGTGAACAAGCAAATGAAGATGTATATGAACGTTAAGATTTCCATGTCAAGAACGTGGTAGTGGTTTCACTTGCATACAAGCAATATATCATGGACATGCTTAAAAACAGAAGAAAGCAAGCGGGATTATTTACACATAAGAAGCATAAATGGAATGTCCTTGGTGAGCAAGCATCATAACTTATATATGCATAGCCCTAATAGTAGAGCTAGATTACAATAGGATTAACATGATTCATGCTACCCCTTCAGTAGTTTTTGCTCACTACAAAGTTTTCTATGCCAATCCACATGCTACCAAGAAAACCAAGATGATAATTAGTGGCACAACATTTCTTATAACAATTTTCCTAGGGTTTCATCCCCTTCAACCAAAAATGGCACAACGTTATTGCTTGAGAACTACATTAAATTCTGGTTCCAGTCCATATGTTTCCTAGGAGAAGCAGACACTTTGTTCCTCAAAACCTTAGTCTCATCTAAATTACACTTGCAAACTTATGGTTCATTTTCTGATCCATCAAACCCCAACAGCATTTAACAACTCAGAGACGATATGAGAAGAAAGTAGAAACATAAAGGAGGAGATTGCAGGTAATGGCGCAAAGGAGCTTGAAGTGACAAACAGAAAGTAACATGGGGCAGGAGTGGAAGAAGACGTATATACATGAGACCAAAAGCAAGCATGAGTACAATTACCAATTCATATTTTCAGACTCTGCACTGTTTTTCATTATCCATTTGGACACAGTTTCACAATCCACAGGACGATGAGCTTCTTCTGTACACTGCATCACAGCAAAAGCGTTTATCATCTATAAAGTAAGAAAATAAACTAATCTTTCTATAACTTATAAATAAACATAATACTCACATTCCAACAAAAGCTGTATGAGCAATGGCAAGTTACATCATAGCTTCCACTTCCAAGATCAAACTCAATGGCACAATCACACCCCGGTGCAGGGCACCACTTTGTCTATCAATGAATAAAAGTAGACAGAAAATATTAAATTACAGAAAGCAGAAAAGATACATTATGAAGCAATTAAATTAAAAGCAGAGAAAAGGAAATGCTTCTTAAATAAGCACTTCTGGCATAAGAACTAATATTTGGTACATGTTAGTCCAAGAAGATCTAGTCGTTCAGAAGACTATACATTATACCTCTTGATGACGGAGGGTATTATCTTCATATGCCTAAAAACCATATCAAACTAAAGCATAGAATAGAACGTGTGGGAAAAGATAGATGGGATCCATGGTTTTGAAAGACGAAAATAGGTCTCATAGGATTTCATTTATTAAAAGTATGTTAGAAAGCCCCAACTGCACCTCATACTCTTCAGTAAGCCTCGCCTCAGAATCATGTCCCTCGTCCATGTGAGGCATATGCCTCGATACCAACAGCAGAGACATAGCTTCAGCACATGCAAAGCAAAGTATTATGCAACACTCTTTTCTAGTTACATCACTCTTTTCCATAACGCTGCATGGTACCCCTTTTCCAGCAAATAGGTCTGTGTCTTAATAGCCCTTCAGGTACGAGAACTCCATTATCTTATTTTCTATAATTTGAAAAGTTTTCTGTTGTGTCATTTCGTTAAACTGTTATTGAATGATTGCTCTGTCATCTATATGATTTGTCGGGGCATAGGGATAATGCTTGTAGGATCTTTTTTAGTCGCTTGATTCGGAGGAGTCTGTTATTAGATACTTTTGCATTTGGTTAATTACGTTAAATTTGTTGTTACTCAGGTTACTTGATGCTTATATACTGTTTTAATGGTAGTTCCTTTCATTATCATTAGCTGTTATTGTGTAATCCAATTTTGTGGTAGTTAAACTGTTGTGATTGGTGCACACTAGGTGTGAGGTCCATTAAGACATAAGTTTAGGCCTTGTCTTGACTAACTGGCTAAGGCCCTTTGACTTTGATGAGGAGTAAAGCTCAGCCTCTAATGCGCAAGAAACAATGCAAAAGCTTTATTCAAATGAGTTATAAGTCAATTTTCCGCCCATTTTTAGAATAAGAAGTATTTCATCGTGGGAACTTTTTGGTTTTTGTGATTCTTAATATATTTAAAATCTTTTCAACTAACGAAAAGGATGAGGATTTTTAATTACTCAAAATTAGGGCCTTCGTTCTGACTCATAAGCTTCCCGTCTTTTTACCTATCCTCTTTTCTCTTTGATGATTTTGTTTATAGGCCATGGTTAATTGAATGTTGATTCTTAGTATGTTTTAATGTTGATTTTAGTGGATGATTCTTTAATTGATGTTAATTGACTGTCAATCGTTAGTTTCGGTTATAACTGATGTTACTATTTTTGTTCAATTGCTAATTTATGGCGCCTTAATCTGTTCTTTATATATAGTTGTTGATGTAAATACATGTTAATAACATATGTATTGATGCTTTCATGAATTTGATACTTTAGGTAGATATGAATCTTCACCGATTTAATGATTTTCTGTGTGTATATACATACATACATACATATACACAAATACATATATTTGTGTGTTTTTGTAATTTTCACAGGATAACGGGTCACATATTAATAGGCTTATAGCTAAAAACCTCATTGATAAATTAGAACTTGGCTGTCCAATGCATGATTGTATCTATAATCTTTTGTCGAAGGATATCATGTGTTCTTGACTTTATTGACTTCTTGTTTTATTCAAAGTTTGTTATGTCAATCTTAATCACCTATATGTTCTTTTTATCCAAAGCTCACTCCTAAAAATAGCCAGTAAACACACGAATAGCAAACTATAAAATTTTAGAAGATATCCTTTATTGATCAACCAAAATCATATAGATCGACAACTGAAGATGTTGAATGAGTAAAAACAAGTATCCTCAGGGCTCAGACTACTTGCAGCTGTGATTGAATTGGATGTGCTCCTGCTTATATATTAATGTTTTTGTTCTGTAAATTTGATAAATATATCTTCAAGATTGTGCTTATAATCAAATAGAGGGACCACACATTAAGCAAATACCAAGTCCAATATGAAAACGATGTCAATTGCAGTAAGATGAATAGATCAAATTTATACCTTTCTATTGTCCTCGATATAAGATCTAAGAAGGTAACGCCGGTATTTCTTCTTCTCTTCATCTGAAGCCAACATATTGACCATGTCCACACCAACAGCAGCACCACAGGACGGAATGGCACATCTCAATGTTAAACATCCAGGACCATCATTGATAGATGTGCTAATGTAGGCTGCCACAATGAATATGAAACATAAGAATGAGATATCATTATTCTAATTGTAAGCATATAATAAGAGGAAAACAAAGGATATTATCAGCATAAATCATCAGCCAAACTTTTTGCAGATGAGTTATGAACATACTTTTTAAAACAACTGAGAAATGCTTTTCATGTATCAAAGAAGCAACAAAAATCATTGGAATAAACAATTTATTTGAAGTGGGAATCAAAAGAGAATACATGCAAGAACCAAGCAGATCATAGAACCAAAAAGAGATACAAACCTGTCCAGCATGTGTTACAGAAAGGATGGCCACAGGCAGCAGTACTAATCTTATCAAGTGGATATGACTCAAAGCAGATCCCACAAGCCACCTTCGAAAGATAGATATAAGAGGGCAGACAAGAATATCTAAAAGACTAAAACTTCACAAAAATGCAACTTATTTACCCTAACATACCTCTCCAGCTTTTGGTGGCTTGATATCTGTCTTGTCCAACAGGCCAACAGCCTTCCTAACTTTATCTTCATTAGCAAACCATGCTTCATGAACATTGCTAACACTCCTGTAGGGTCCAAAACGGTTTAATAAAAAAGAAAAATACCAAATTTTGATACAGAACAATGCAGCATGAGATTCTTCTTGGTCCCCAGTTACAGATCAATTACATGGAAGTAAGTTAATTCATAATTGATAATTTTGTCCACTGCTAAAATCTATGAGGTAGCGAATTTTACAAGAAATCAAAAAGCTTGAATGCCTCACCAGTTAAAACGGCGCAAGAGCATGCAAGCTGAATCTCTCGAAATTGACAGAACAGCAGAAATTCTAGTGATATCATCCTCCTGACGTTGACGTATATCATCTTCCTTCAAGATGGTATAATTTTTCTGAAACATAAAACCAATAATGCTAAAGCTTGGATGGAAGCAAAGAGGAACAGATAACAAACAATAAACAAGAAAAATTAAATCCCATGTTGCAACATAAAAAGGTCCAGCCACTTTATATCTATGCTGTTATAGCGGTGAAAATACAAAATTGCGGTCGGGACGATATTTGAAATAGCGGTGGTATAGTGGTCCAAAAATAGCGGTTCATATAATATTTCTTAGAATTATATGTAATTATATATACAATATGCCTACATAAACATATCATTTGCAAAATGAGAAAAGTGCTCATAAATGAGCTAATCGCAAGCAATAGGTTCAGCATCCGAGTCAACATCATCTAATACATTCACTTCTTCGTTAAGGCTAAAAACAGAGGCTGAAAATAAAGCCAAAAAAAAAAACTTGAAATAAAGCCCAACTATCTAAAAACAGAGACTGAAAATAGAGCCCGAACCCCCCCCCCCCCCAAAAAGTAACGTAAGCAATTGACCCTAAATATCAGTCAAATTTGCGGTAAATTAAACCGATAATTGCGCTACCACAATCTGACCACCGTTATTTTGCTAATGTCCGCTATCCGAGATATTGTGGCGCTATTGCGCCGCAATTAACAGCATAGCTTTATATCAGAACTTCTAAAACTATATTTCCTCCAACTTTGATCTAAGATCATTTGTCTGACTAAATCCACCATGATCGGCAAACAATCACATGCCCATCAACCAAGGCATTGACAATTACCCATACTGTAACCATCAACTTCTTAACCAAAACCATCTTCTTATCTTGCTCGAGTGATAAGAACCAAGAGGTCCCAAATCCTAAGTTTGAATATCTATTGTGTGTCTCGATGAGTGAGCAGCATGACTTTAAACCTTGGTGCGATTTCCCTGGTCATTAAAAAAAAACCTTATTGGCCACCATAAGGCCTTTGTCCCTAGAAGTTACCCAAAACAACATTAACTTTACTCAGGGCCTGTTCGTTAACAGCTTAATGAGCTTAATAGGACTCACAGCTTATTCAGTGACTGTTTGATATTGGCTTAACGATATAGAAAGTGGACTAAGCTTTTAGGGGATAGCTTTATGCAGAAAGCCAATATTTTTCCAAACCTGCCCCTCCATGCTCCTTGTAAGTAAAAACCCTCTTAAACCAAAACCTTCCCAATCTATATGGACAGATTAAATGATTAATCCACTCAGACAATTTTATCCATCTACACGGGACTTAATAGAAAATCAACCAAACAGCCCCCGACTGGTAAACTAACAATCACCAAACAACAATGTCTGATTGAAACAAACGAGTCATATGCTAACAAACCACCATACCTATACATAAAGACAAACTTAAACTGATTGAAACAAATCATCATATGAAAGAATAGTATGAAACCCACCAGTTCAACATCAAATTTGCATCGAATCCGATGAACAAACGCTTTGCGAGTAAACAAATAAATTCCAAAATTCAATTCACCTGTTGTCGGCTAACTAATGCGTCATCAGAATCATCGGAATCATTATCCAAAAACTCATACCCAGCATCATCATCGTCATCGCTGTACATCGCATCGCCGCTGTAATAATCTTCTTCGTAAGAATCAACATCGTTCGCATCATGCATATCATCTTCCGAGTCCATCGTGGGAAAAACCCTAGAAATCTTTACAACGGGGTGCGAAAACCTAGGGTTTTAGGCGGTATAATTATCAAGAAATTGATTATACAAGTTCGAGAGAGATGGGTTTGGGGAAGAAAGGGTGATCGATGGATGGTGTATTTTGGGGGAAACTGAAAACGAATTGGGAGGGGTTTATTTTATAGGATCATGTTGTTGGTCTACGCAAAGTCGCAAAGCAACCACAATAAGAACCCTGTGATAGGTTTAATCGATTCTTGATCTCCCTTTTATCATGGCGATCCCAGCTCCAAATCACAAAATCAATGCTTAATCGGATCAACGGGATGGAGGGATAGATTCAAGAATTCGCAATAGCAAGTCCTTTGTTTGCCTCTATTAGGGCAGGCTTGTGGTATAGAATAAACCATGTCAATCTTTGTATTAGTCAACATGTTCATCTTTTTCTATTATTTCCTTACAAATCCACCATGGTTTCTAACAAAAATACCAAAAAATTTCTTATTAGTTTCTAAAAGTCATCAAATTTATACAAATTATGAAGGGGATTAACGTTGGCGTTTGATAGCATCATGGATTGGATATCAGGTGTTGATACGTTCGTTTGATGGTGTCACGAATTAATACAGTTATTAGATGGTGTCGTGGATTAAAAGGTACAATTGATATATGGTTTATAGTGTCATGGGTCGGAAATCAGGGGTTGATACATTCGTATAATGATGTCATGGATCAAAAATCGGGTCTTGATACATTTGTTTGATGGTGTTATGGATTGGAAATATGGGGTTGCCGATACATTTGTTTGATGGTGTTATGGATAAGTCACGAATTAATACGGCCGTTTGATTGCTTTGTGGATCATAAATCATGAATTAATACAGTCGTCTTGATAGTGTCATGGGCTAGAAAAGCAGGGTCAATACAACAATTCAATGGTGGCGTGGATGTGAATCCATGGACTAATACGGTCATTTAACGGTGTTGGGGTCAGAAACCAGGGGTTAATATAGTAGCTTAAAGACGTTAAGACCGAAAACTACTACTAATACAGTCGTTTAATGGTGTCGTGAATTAAAAATCATGGGTTAATACAGTCGTTTAATGGTGTCATAAATCGAATGTCATGAATTAATATGATCGTTTGATAGTGTCATGGATTGAAAATCACGAATTAATTTAGTGGTTTGATAATGTCATTGAGCACATATCATTTTGTTCCATTGCTTGATTTACATTTAAAAATCTTCGTCTGACACGCATCGAAAATCGTTAACGAATATTATACATGAATATGCGCAAATATCATTCATGCATGTTTGATGATGTCACGGATAATCGTCGGCGCACGCTATTCATCGTAATATCATTAACAAAAAAAAGAGGCCCAAATCAAATCATTGTTTAATTACGGTTATTTATATGTTATTTACAATATTTACTTTCTTGTTTTGTCAAATGGATAAACGGTATTTTCCATATTTAAATAGAAAAATACATGCGTTACATATTATTTATTGCATGTTTCATGTCAAACCTATATGGTCGTTTTTTCTTGATTCTTTCATAGCACTTGCCAAACATCTCGATCTATTATGTGGTCGATTTGCCTTGTTCCGTTTGGTGGGACAATACAAGACATAACTGTTTAAAACTTCTTGTTCAATGTTTTATGTGACATTATAATATGACAGCTGTATTTTTTGACAAAATATTAGCTCAAAATCTTTATTCTCCATTGTAGTTTTTGACAAAATAAATATTGATGATCTGATTTTTAAAGTCAAAACAGTTAAATTTAGGCAATGAATCAGTTTCATACAAGAATAGTAACCAAATAAGAAAATATGATCACAAGAGTGGTGTCTGATTGGTTTGAGCTTGGCTCCAAAGGTCAAAAGTACCAGAAGGTCACAAGTTCAAATCCAAACAGGAATAAAAATCCCTTTGTGGCCACAAAGGTTCAAATGTGGTGACTTCGAGCTATCTGCAAAGCAGGTGGTCGTCTTGGAATTAGTTGGCTCGCATAGCGGGTTGGATATCCAGGTTAATAAAAAAAAAAACATGAGAATGTATATATGGACCACACAATTCATTAAATAAAGAATTAAAAAAAAAGGGTATAAAGGTAATTTGCTTATATAAAAGTAAGACATCTATTCAACATTCTATTTTTACTATGGGCCTCTTTGTTTTCTCAAAATTATTTTTTAATACCTTTGAAGTCTGATTCGTTTAGATGTTTGGGTATTAAGAGCATTTGTTTTTTTTTTCCTTTCTAAAATACGAGTTTAAAAGCTCTAAATATTATCTGATATTTTAAGTGGTAAACGTATCTCTTAATTCTAATCTACCCTCTATCAAATGGTTCATATTTTGCGGGCCGGAATAGATTTTATAGCAAAAACTATTTATCTTCTTATACTTTTGTAAAAACTATTTATCTTTATATTTTTGCACTAGTTTGACTGATTCAGATTTCAAACTTTAGACGTAAAAACAAACAATCTTATTGATCCAGATTTCAGACTTCATGACCACCTCTTATAAATCTGAAGTGAAATCAGACTTCAGACTTTAGTACCTATTAAAAAACAAATGCCACCTATATTTTAACATGATTTAATTTTTTTTTTCTATTTAATGCATTTAAAAAACGCATTTAATTTCATTTAAACTTATTTATATTTAAGGCAATATTAAAAAAAATTACAATTTTCGTCAATGATTCAAATTGAAACATTGAAAAAGAAAAATAATGAAAACAAAATCACATGTGATATGTAGCATAACACTTTTAATATGTATAAAATCATATGCACTTCAAAGTGTAATTCAATATTGTAGATAATTTATATTTATTTTCCACATAAATTTACTATGAACAATATTACATATAATATTTTGACGAAAATGAACGATTCTTCGTGTAAATAAAAACGTTGATTAATTGTGGATATCACATGTTGTTGGTCCCGAACAGATCTACAAGAAATTTAAAGGTAACAATTTGTAGAAGGGGGAGTTGGATACAAACATACAAGTTTTCACTTCTTAAATTCGTTTATTGACTAAAGAATATCAATACTTAATTTACAGATTGTTACGGAAAAAATTAAGGTTAAAACCTAATCTAAACAATCTAAGAATCACACTTATGATGCACAAAAAATATAAGAACAAGAGAAAATAGAGTTTGAGGAAGAAGAAAGCGTTGTTGAAAAGATGAATATTCTCAGCTATTTATAATCATTGCATTCAATGCATGTCATATGGTACAAGTCACGTGGCAACATTCTATTGGGGAGCTTGTCATTTGTCTTCAAATATGCATGTTTTTGGCCGCATAACAATTGGCTTTTACTAGGTAGGTAAACACGTTTTGTGACAATAAAATAACTATGTATATGTACCTTTCTGTGTAATGTATGGGGTTGTCCTTTTGTGCATATAAGATAAGACAAAAACTAATCTTGTAGGATAAGATAACACAGTTTTCCACACATTTTTGTAAACCATATATTTATTTTTATCGGTAAACTTGTCTCAAAACATAATGATTGCAATCTCTTGATCCGGCAAATGGTACAGCATGCATAGTCATATTTGTTCCTTTCAATTTCAAGTCCTACGGTGCACATCTATCGTACATCTCTATCAGTCTTCCACGATGATAATATTCTGTACGAAGACTACTTGATTTCAGTGAAAGAAATTTTGTAAAACAAGACAATAATAATATAATGTGTATTCGGGTTATTTTTATAAAAAATAAATATATAAAATATTAGTTTAATGTGTTATTCTGTTTAGAAAAAAAAATCAATATAAACTTCAGAAAGACAAAAAAATAGTTTATGATTTTGTAAAAATATGATTTGGCTGTATTTGGAAAGGTTATAAACTGTAGTGCTTAATAGACAATTTTAATAAAATGACAGATTCTGGATTTCTACATAGGAGCAGATTCGGACAAACATAACTTAATAAAAACCGGGTAAATCGTCACTCTCATTTACCAGGTAAGACTCATAGTCCTTGCCATCATTCTTACCGGGTAAGATCATTGGTCATTGATATGTTAATTTAATAGGATGAATAATCCGATAAACATTTACCAGATAAGCATTTAGTAAGGTATCTATGTATTTTGTACCAAACAATATTTCCCCCTCCATAAGATTGATCTACCAACTTGAACTTTATCTTTCTTGGAATTACACAAGTAGTCCCTCACTTCACATACATATTATAAGTTAGGGCTGTTTACTAAACACTTACTTGGTAAGTGTTTATCGGATAAATTTCTTCATCGGATGAACATGAGAAGTGCCAAGAATCTTACCGGGTAAGAACGATAAGAATGATGGAGAGTTTTACCCGGTAAGTGAGGATGATAACTCTTACCTAAGTAAGCGCTTACCCAATAATTTGTTGCATTCGATATGTTTTGATATACTAAAATCTCACGCATCAAAATAAATCATAGTATTGACTCATATCGTTAAGCGCTTACCGGGTAAGCAATTGGGTAAACGGTCCCTTAGTCCGTTTTCGAGGTGTTATAATACATTATACCATTGATCAAAATCTATTTAGGAGCCGTTTACCAAACGCTTACCCGGGTAAGCGCTTGGCAAGTAACATTACCTCACCGCATGAATATGGTAAAAACCAAGAATCATACGTGGTAAGAGCGAGACAAGAACCAAGAGTTTTACCCGGTAAGTGAGAGCAATGACTCTTACCACGGTAAGCGCTTACCGGGTAAATTGTTGCATACAATATCGTTTTGATGGACTAAAATCTTACCCAGTAAGTAAATAATAGTGTTAAATTTCACCGGTAAGCACTTACCAGGTAAGTGTTTGGTAAACGGCCTCTTAATCTACTACCATGATCGACCATCCATAAGACCATAATTAGTCATGAACTATTCATTCCTGAGCCATTGTTTTTAGTATGCAAACCAAAATACGGTACATAAGTTTATTCTTTTTGTTACAACAGATACATTTCAGTATTCTTATCAAAATCTTTAATTTTCTTTTATAAAATAACATAAAATTATATTTTATCCTTTCTTAAAATAATAAGAAAGAGAAATTTTATAATAAAATAAAAAATAAAAAATAAAAAATAAAAAATTCTGATGAAAAAAACTGAAAAAACCCTTATTTTAACAGAGAAAACAAACGATCAGAGATCACTTTAAAAAAATGAAAACTATAAGAACAAAACGTATATGTTGTTTGTTTACCTCTTAATAGTTCAATTAATAGTTGTTTGGCAAAAAAATATGTCTTTTAATGGTTGTAAAATTCTCTGAATGATTTTGCATATTGATTCTTCCTTCACCATTCAACGTTATAATTTTATTATAAACAATTACCAAACAATTATATTTCATTTTATACTATATCATAAAAATCTTTTAATTATTTTATGCTAAACCATTCAGCAACTGTCAAACAATATATAAACTTATTAAAATTATGTAACACTTTCAAACTTTTCAAAAAAACTCGTGTCCTCGTGGGCCAAAATTAAAGTTTACTCTTTTTAAACCACAAATCATATACCTTTTGAGATTCAATTGCAACGTTGGTGAAGTTAGTACACGTGTGCAGAAATGAGAGCCCCCAAATTTGCCACGCCATCGATCAATCGCGAAGAGGCGCGTAGGATTTGAAAAAAGAAAACAAACAGCGCAAAAGGCGAGTAAAAGCAATATTAAGGGATGTGGCGCGTGGATAACATGATTTGTTACAGATTGACATTTTACCAAACCTCTGTCTAAAATGACACGTGGAATAACAATAGCACCATGTGATGTTGATATGGATACGATAAAGTCACACAGATGCCATGTTCCTCACATTAATCACCTGATAATGGATAATATGAAATCGACAATTATGTCAAAATACATATTTTTTAATATAATTTAAAATAGAATATCGCTATTATATTATAAAGCATTCGAGAAAAATTTCTAAAAATCATTTTTATGTGTAAAGTATTGTTTATTAATGCATGTTACGTATAATTAAATGTTACAATTAGATTGTACGTAAATATAACTTATTAAAGCTTCATATCTGAATTCATGTAACTAACTGCAAATAAAAATAATCAAATACATGATAAGCATCTCATTTTAAATATAAAAAATTTAAAATATAATTAAGATAAAGTTCTAACACAATACTTAATTATTATCTTTAAAATGTTATATTATTAAACCAAAAATAAATTATTTTATTATTAAACTTAAACTAAATTATAATAAAAAATAAATTAAAGAAATTATATAAAAAAGATAACTTTTAAATAGTTGATTTGATACTAACATTGATATTTTTTTTTCAAATTTATATTTTATTTAAAAATTAAATCATTATTGTTTTCTTAAAAACACATAAAATCGTATTATAACATCGACAGAAACAAAGAATAAAATAGAACATTAAAATCGAGATGTATCTCGCTGCATTGCACGAGTACCCTTCTAGTTTAAATATAATAAAATTTGTCTTCAAAGTCGTCAATCTAATATTTATCATCATTATTTATTTTATCCAGTGAACATCTAAGAATAAAAATTTCTATTATATCATTTTAATTACCGAAAATATAACCAATAAAATAAACAAGAGTAGTACTACTTGTAATATTGGGATTAACATCTTATTTGGTCAATTATATATGATTGTTTATTACTGACTTAATGATATTGAAAGTGACTTAAGAGTTGTTTGGTGGTTGCTGAATGGTTTGGTATATAATGATTAAGTGATCAGACTGATTAAGAGGCTCTCATGATATAATACAAAATGAAATATAATTGTTTGTTAATTGTTTACAATGAAACTAGGGCACTGAATGGTTAAGGAAGACTCGTGATACAAAGTCATTCAGAGAGTTTTATAACCATTAAGAGACGAATTCTTTTTGCCAAACAAGATTCATCTCTTAATGATTCAAATGTTGTCTTTTAATGGAACTATTAAAAGGTAAATAAACAACCCCTTATTCAGTAAGCTCTAGGGGAGCTTTATGCAAAAAACCAAGTTTTTTTTTCAAACTCGTCCTTCCAAATTAAAAAACATTAATTCAATTTATGAAAAAACCATCCTAAACAAAAATTTTCCGAATTTATACAAACAAATTAATCCACATAGACAACTTTATCTATACAATCGTTGGTGAAAAACCAACCAAACAACTGGGCTAAAGTTGGTAAAAGACCCCTTCATATGTATTCGGTGTAAATGGTAGGTTTTTTTTTTTTTCGTAATAAAAGTTTGATTGTTCATATTTCTTACTCATTTTATGCGACAAACGAGTTTTCAATGTACGTATAAGTTGATTTTGATTTAACATTTTTTACGTAATAGAATATTTATTTTGTTAATTCATAAAAACACTGTTTGATATCTCATAACACTTATTGCAATGGATAGATCAAAGTTTACAAGTCCTAACTAGTTTCTTTTAACAGTTAAACTAATTATTTTACATATTAAAATAGAGGTGGGTTCCGGTAAGAATGAAATTTATGGTGCGTAAGACAATAAATGATATATACATTTGGATCAATCCTAATTGAAGATCAACACTAATGAGATAAACTGATATGTACTGGATCGATTCTTGTGTCAAGTGTAATTCATAAGCTGGAGTGAGATTATAAATGATGAAAATTTTAAATTAATTTTTATGCTTCTCATTTTAATTCATATTAAAAAAACATTTATAATTTGTTGTAAAACTTATATAAATATTTAAATTTCTTTTAGGTTTTTTATATTTTCAAATACAATAATTAATTCAGGTGAGTCACCTACCTGTCATTTTAGGTTACATCCCTGTACGAAGAACTTTAAAATCAAGTTCTCCACGTCTTTTGAGCGATAAGCCATCTTCGTACCAGGGCCAAGATCGTCGGAGCACTGCCGTAGAAATAGTTTGCTACTTTTCCTAAATTTCATCCCATCAGTCCTCAAGCTTAAAATCGTTACAGAAAGGTTATTGCCTTCCACTTCCTTGCTTGAGCTCATTCGATTTCGATAATCACCCAATTCCATTTTTGGAAATTGCTCAATTGAGGTTGTTTTCGCTTGATATCTATAAGGATCTTGATAATTTCACAAACGAATCAATCGAGATCGTAAATAAATTTATCTGGGTTTCTTTGTTTGCCCACCAAGTGTTCGATCACTTGCCTGACTTGTAATCTTGATTATCAGCTGGGATGTGTTTTAGAAGGAAAACAATAGTGTTTTAGAAGGAAAACAATCTTGATTATCAGCTGGGTTGTGTTTTAGAAGGAACACAAAATGACGATAGAAACGTTTCCAAGAAGTCCAGGGTTAGATGCTGGTGTTGAGAAGAAAATAACATACTTCAGCAATAAATATGTGTTGGGTTTGACTGTAATTGCTGGAATTGGTGGTCTTCTTTTCGGATACGATACAGGTGCCTATTTTTCTTTTAATGAATATTATATATGATTTGCGTCTATATCGTGTATGTGTATGGTTTGATTTGCTTGGCAAATTATGATATATTTTATGCTTGGTTTTCTTTACTATCTAGCCAATAATTGGATGGTGTCGTTTGAACATGGAGAAGGAGCCTAAGAGAAATATGTTAATGATCTTAAAGAAATGCATTTTGTTTTAAAAAAGTAAAATTCAATACAAAAATACTAGATTTTGCTTTTTCTTCTTTAGTCAACATATAGCATATTGCGTTGAATGACCATATTCTCGTGAGCCAACATGTAACATATGTTAATTCATATATTTGTTTTTTAATATTATTAATAATAATAACACATGTATATGTGAAGCTATTAGCAAATAGCAATACATATGATCGTTTGAAGTAGAGATGCATAAAAAGAACCCAAGCGCGAAGCCCGACCCAAAAAACCGGGGTTTAGTGAGCTAGAAAGCCCGGTCAGGCCATGCCCGCCCCAAAAAAGCCTGAAAAAACCAATCAGGTTTTTTTTATCCCAAAGCCTGGTCCGAGCCTAAAAAGTTTTGGCCTTTTTTGTTTACTGAAAACGGGCTTAGAAGCCCTGTCCTAGGGCCAAAAAATCCAAGGCCTCGTGCATATGTAGACCTATTAATAGCAAATGCAATAAAATTTCCACATTGTAGAAAGATATGATTTGCAGTACAAACTCTATTTTGTTATGTGATTTTGAGGGTTGTGTAATGTAGTAACAACATCTAGCATTAACATATTTAAAGGTTTTATACGGTTATACATGCTCTGTAAAACCTTGATTTCTTAAAATAATTTATTCCAATGCGCTAGACCCACATCTTAAAATATAAAAAATTCTGTAAAGACTAATGTGACACCCTAATTGTTAAGACCTATTCTTCTTTCTGCGGAAGCTTGAACAATCAATCCTCTAATCTCACACTTCTCATTTAATTAATTAGAAGTCTGAGTTTGTGGATTTGTGGAAAAAAATTAATTTTTTTGACCTATTAGAATCAAATAGTTAACAGAGAGAGGTCATGACTAGTGGTGGACAAATGGACTGTTGGACAACCCTACACAACCAAACAAATAGCTGAAAACAAGTTAGATTTTGCTAACCAAGTGAGTGGTTCCGGGTACAAATGAAAATAACCTCTAGGAAAACTAGTCACACAAAAAAACCCAACAAGAAAAGGCATTGAAAAACTTCAGTACAATTTACAGTCAAATCACATCAAAGAAACACAAAATAGACTACGGATTTATGATATTTAGCACAGAGGGGTAAGTGATCACAGTAAACCAATATATATCTCTAAGGGTGCAATACCATATACCCTCAGAACTAAAGTTGTTTCAATAAAGACGAAGACTGGGAGAATTTGTCTATTATTTTACGTATTATGGTCATGAAGAAGTTCATTGGCTTTGCTTCAACAAGGTATGTAAGTTTTTCTATTGATATTGTAGAAACTGACATTGAGATTGAAAGAAAAAGTAAATATACAGACTTTTGCTTTCTAGGAGCATCAGGAAGGATCATGGAGCTTTTAATCAGTTAATTTTATATATTCTGAAATAAATACTACTAATATAAAATTTTCCGGGCCCCTATTTTTCTTGCGCCCTGAGCAAGTGCTCATCCCGCCCTTGCCCAGAAATGACCCTATGTGTGAAAATCTGCAATATATTTCCATTTTTTAGAATTAAAATTATAGATGACAAACATATACTGGATTGCCGTCTGCGTGTGTATCAAATGGAATTACTTGATGAGTCCACGTTTTGAAGTTAAGGCCTTCTGTGTCTTTTATTTGGAATCCTTTCTTCCCTTATGGATTTATCAACTTATAAACCATGCTCTTTTAAACGTAAAATTTTGCTTCAGGAGTTATATCAGGAGCTCTTCTATACATCCGTGATGAATTTGAGGCTGTTGATCAAAGTAGTTTCTTACAGGTACTAGTTCCATTACTAACTAATTGGTTAGTACTTTCAAACCAGCTTTACCTGTTCAATTTCCTCTCAGCATTCAATTTTGTTAATCTGTTTATTCAAATGAATTTGCTCTTAGCGGTTGTAACTGTAACAACCCGTTCCACATGGATAGAAAATAGATTTGTGAGCTCGTTATAATCTCCCAATAACTTCCACCATGGTTGTAAGTTGAATTAGAAGTTATTTGGTCAGCCTGCTGTTTCGGCATATGGACATTACAGTACAAACCCTCTTACCATCGCATATATGCAGGAGACGATTGTTAGCATGGCGTTAGTTGGTGCAATGATTGGAGCAGCAGCTGGTGGTGGGATAAATGATGCATATGGGCGTAAGCAAGCGACTCTTCTTGCTGATGTGATTTTTGCGTTGGGATCTTTTGTCATGGCTGCTGCATGGAATCCATATGTTATTATATTTGGCCGCCTCTTGGTTGGGCTGGGCGTGGGCGTAGCATCTGTTACTGCTCCAATGTATATTGCAGAAGCAGCCCCTTCAGAAATACGGGGAGGTCTTGTGAGCACCAATGTGCTCATGATAACCAGTGGACAGTTTCTTTCCTATCTCGTCAATCTTGCTTTTACAGAGGTCGGGTTTTTCTTGCTTTATCTTTAAATTATCTTCTTCATAATATGCTGCTTTTTCTTGATACAGCATAAGATAATTTAGCTTGAAATGTCTATACTTTATGACACCATTTCTACATCAATTCATCAAGGGATCGAGAATTCGGCATCTCAGGAATTTGTAGACGACCGGTCTTAAGATGTTTCCATTTAATAACTTAAAAAAGGTTAAGATCATAAACTAAACATGCCGGTGTAATTTTAGACCTTCTCTCCTAGAGTTATATTAAGGGCGAATCTTGGAGCAAACAATGCTAAGGTCATTGGTTTTTTATATTTTATTCTTGGTAACCATGTGTGTCTGGGTCAGTTTGTGCGCACTTTTTCCAGACTAATCCCATGGGACCTTGAAGATAACAGGCATTAAAATCTCCAGTGGCCTGGAGTAGACTTGAATAACGACTTATAGAGAGGAGCCGTAAGGCCTAGTCTTGATTTGCTGGTAGAGCTGGCCCTCCTCAAGGCTGAAGGTCATTGGTTGAAGCCATGGAATCAGGCTTTTTGCGAATCTGAAGGGAAATGCACTGCGCAAAGACCCCTTCCGGATCCTCAAAAGTTGGGAGCCTAAGTTCGAATCACCCGTTAGAGTAATTTATACGAAGTTGCATTGTGAACTATATGTTATCAAAAATGGGATCTAACACATCGTCAATTTTAACAAACTGCAAATTTTGTTTACTTGTTCCTTTTCTCCGGTTTTGTTGCATCATTGTCTTTCCAATTTCAGTGCATATAAGTTAATATGTTATGTACCTTGCTTTAAGGTTTTTGATTATGCAGTTTCAAGGCGGCAACTTCAAGCTCGAACTGGAGTTTGCATAATAAGTTCTCAGTACAACTCTTCTATTTCCCACTTAATGCCATTTATAGAATATCGTTTATTCTTTATTAATCCTTGCACAACTGAAAAGCTTCTGAAATTTGTATATAGCACGAGTTTCGTATAAAATTTTCTTTGCCTTAATGACTGTCGGACAATCTGCAGGGAACACTAAGTTTCTGCTCGGCCTGTTAGATGGGTCGTTCAATTGTCCCTAACCATAGAGCCATCTGATGTAACTAACGGCATACCCCATAATGGAGGTGGTTCTTCATGCATTGTTAACTCATTTTTCCCATTTTTTGATGCGTAGAACGTTCTTTCGAGCACAAACGAAGTTGGGAACCAAGGCTTTGAAGGGATTATTAGAAAGCCTTTTGTTCCCAAAGTGAATGTTTTTTGATAAATTCGGATCTTGAAGACTAGAAGTTGTGCTCCTTAAGGTTTTTGAATCTTGATATTATGTATGGTGCTGAACAGGTTCGTGGGACATGGAGATGGATGCTTGGAGTAGCTGCTGTGCCCGCTATTATCCAATTTTGTTTGATGTTGTTTCTTCCCGAATCTCCACGCTGGCTTTACATGAAGAGAAGTAGATCCGATGCCATTGTTGTGCTGTCAAAGATTTATGATCCTTTTCGGTTAGAAGAGGAGCTCGATCAGCTTTCTGCTGCTTTAGAAGAAGAACGCCAACGCAGGAATGCAATCAGTTACTGGGATGTTTTCAGAATCAAAGAGATCAGACTTGCTTTTTTAGCCGGAGCCGGTCTTCAGGTAATAAAATGGCATTGAAAATACAATTATTAGAGTTCCGTGTCACTAAACTTGGACCTATTCTCCTCGATATATGTTGGAACCTCCCTTCTCTCCTTAAGATTCAAAAATTGGCGAAACTGGTCCCTGCAGTGCTTTAGGCGACCCTGGTATGCGATCTTTACATGGCAGGATAACATCTTAGGGTAGCATTTTGTGTACCATAAGTTCATACCCATATGAAGAATTCAATCTCAAGCTCAAAAATTTAGAAGGGTGAAGGTAGCCGGTTTGTAGTTCGTATTCTATATAGTGAGCGACCCTAGCATTTTCCTCTGTTATGCCTTTCTTTGATCACTTGTTTCATACAATCCTCTTAAGCACGTCAACCATTTTTTCTTGTGTTTTCTCTGTTATATCAACCTATAATGGAATGATAAAAACACGTTTAGTGGGTTTTTTAGCCACATAAATGGGGATTACGTAAGGGATTCGATCATAAAATATATCACGAATTTGACATTTATCAAAGGTCTTTTTTGGAGAGAATTTTTTTGGTTCCACATATTCTCACATGGTATCAGAGCCAAGTGTACCACTCTAGGCACTCGACACTCTAGGGGAAATCTGTACTCGTCTAGCCCCCTCTCGAGACACTCTTAGACAGTCTGTGTCCATCTAGTATTCGTTGGAGGGCGTATGTTAGAGTCACACATCGGCTAGACTTGAACCTGTTCTCCTCAATATATGTTGGAACCTCCTTTCGCACCTCAAAGGCTCTTTTGGAAAGTAATTTAATGGGATGTTTTGCGTAACATTTTCTTGATATGCAGGCATTTCAACAATTCACTGGCATCAACACGGTCATGTACTACAGTCCTACCATAGTTCAGATGGCCGGTTTTAGGTCGAACCAATTAGCCCTTCTACTCTCCCTCATAGTTGCATTAATGAATGCAGCCGGCACCATCGTCGGAATCTACCTCATTGACCATTTTGGCCGCCGGAAGTTGGCCCTCAGCAGCCTCTCAGGTGTGATCCTATCCTTGATTCTCCTCTCAGTGGCATTTTACCTCGAATCATTTGGTTGGCTTGCTGTTTTGGGGTTAGCTCTTTACATCTCTTTCTTTGCCCCTGGGATGGGCCCGGTTCCATGGACCGTGAACTCGGAGATATATCCGGAATCATACAGAGGGATATGTGCAGGAATGTCTGCTACTGTCAATTGGGTATCAAACTTGGTGGTGGCTCAGAGCTTTCTCTCCGTGGCTGAAGCTGTTGGGACTAGTTCGACGTTCTTGATACTGGCGGCCATTGGTGTTGCCGCATTCGGGTTTGTGTTTTTGTTCGTACCGGAGACGAAGGGGTTGAGTTTTGAGGAAGTTGAAAGAATATGGAAGGAGAGAGCTTCAGGGAGTAGTATTCATTCTGAATCTCTTCTTGAAAATGGAGACTAGTTTTCAAGAAAAAAACGCAACTTTGGCAGGAAGTTCCATATACAGAGGTAAACTTTTTCGTCCATCTTATCGTTATACTCTAGAATCTATTTCCGGGATATACCGGTTTGTTGTGTAGACGAATAATCGTGTAAGAATAGGAGTTAAGGTGAGAGGCATAAGAAGGGATCCGGACCCTTAGATCACTTTTAATCCTACCCCATCCCATGAATTGCTTGAGAATTGACCCGGTGCATCTCAAACGTTTTAATCTACAATTAAGATTGATCAAAGGGTGAAGATCCATTCTTACTTTTCTCATCATAAGTTCTATTCTCACCGAAACCCAAGCCTCTCTGTGTGTGTATATATATATAAAATGTGTAAAACATGTACTTTGCGGATACATTTAATATTCAAAAATACATTATAAAGTGTGTTCTATTGTATTCATGGGAGTGGGTACTGCTTGTTTTCACAACATTCATTGCTGAAAATGATCTCTCGGTTGTCGTGGTAGAAATAAGGAGAGTAAGTAATAGACTTATTAGTCAATAAATAAGATCAAAAGTGGTTTCTGTTCTAGTTCTTACCAACCATTGACACAATTCTGCAATAGATGTCAATTGCTTATAACCTGTATGTTGAACGACATCAGTAGCACTAATGTTGAAGTTGTATTTTAAGAATTGTTTTCTCATGATCACTGAAATCTTCAGGATAGAACTTCTCTGCTAGTTGTCGTACATCAAGACTTCTAAAAGTCTCATACGTATTTTTGGGATCTAGAGTTTGGCTTTTTTGTACGCCTCTAAATGATTTGCTTTTTTCATGCATTAAGAAAATTTGGTAATCGTGCATATTTTCTTTGTGTTGTATAAAATGCGTCTAATTGGTATAGTTTAGAGTGGTAGGTACAGATCAGACTTCACGCTCCCTAAGCCTGGGATTTTTTGGGTCGGACTTCAGCCCAAATAAAAGTTGACCAGCCAATCCTTGTCATGGCTCCACTTAGAGATAGTCAAAAACCGGTCCCGGGACAGATCAGGTCAGTCCCAACTGGTCCTAATATTTCTCATAACCGGCCATAACCGGTCCCGCTCCTGCTCGAAAAAGTTGGGCACAATCAAGCTTTATTGTAACCGGTTATGGGCCGTCGGTTTCGGTCCCGGTCATTAAACAATAATTTTTTTAATGATATATATTTTTTATACATTATAAAATTTGTAATTGGGTTACTCAAATACACTTTAAAAATACATTATAGTCTTTGGGTCTTGATTTAAGACCCAGTTTATAACTACCACCGATTCAGTCGGGTTTAGTTCGTTTTGTCTAATGTATTTTGTAACAATTTTTAATATTTAACCACAAGGGTGGTGCCTGATTGGTTTGAGTTTGGGTTTCAAAGGTGAAAATGCCTGGAGGTCTCAGGTTCAAATCTGAGGAGAAATAAAAATCCTCTTGTGGTCACGAAGGTTCAAATGCGGTGACTCTGTGCTACCTACAAAGCAAGTGGTCGTCCTGGGATTAGTCGGCTTGCATAGTGAATTGGATATCCAAGTTAATTAAAAAAATAATTTTTAATATTCTACTATTAATTATTTGCGTGTATTAACATATTTATAATTAAATTTTTTTTTGTAACATTTATCTAATGGGGAATTATTTAAAAGTTATGATTTTAATTCTATATTGCAATTTCGAACACATAGAATGAGTAAATCCAAATAAATTTTAAATAAAATAAAAATAAAAATAAAAATAAAATAAAAATGAAAAGGAAAAGAAAACAAAAAGGTTAGAATCCGAGGAGGACCAATTCAGACCGATTAGGACCGTCAAATCCAAATCTATCTTAGATTTTGAACGTCAAGATTGTTTATAACTGAGACTGGTTGGGGAATCACTGAGAATGACAAATCTGGATTTGTCTTGAATTTTGAATGCTGGGATCCGTCTTTAATTGAATCAAGCTTACCTCTAGTTCAATGAAGTTCATGTGTATCTTGTGGCCATGGAGGTTCACCTACGATGACTCCAAGCCATTCATGGTCGTCATAGGGATTAGTCAGTGTGTATAAGCTAACCCGGAAACCGGTTACCGAAAAAATCTAGCGAAAAGAAACAAAGGACGGGAAAGTATAAAAGAATGAATAGAATAGAAAACCCAAAACAAATAAAACAAGGGTTTGCTGCAACAAAATCTATTTTCAGACGTAAATGCATAATTAAGTAAACGTTTATAACTTTACATCAAATATTTTTATATTACCTTATTCTGATTCTTTCATTGAACATTATAATAATTACTTTCAGAACGCACATTCAAACTAGTGATGGCCAAATCGGCCCAGCCCGGGACCGGCAAAGGACCGGTTATGAGACCGAAAACTAGGACCGGTTGGGGTTTTTGGAAGTTACGTGGGACCAGGACCGACCCGAAAATTCAAATAATTTTATAAATAAATGTATTTTTAAATAATTTTATAATGTATTTTTATAAGACAATGTAATTTTAATTATATTAAAACACATTTTTAAAGTGTATTTGAGTGACCCAATTGTAGATTTTATAATGTATTAAAAATATATATCATTAAAAAAATAAAAATAAAATCTTATTTTTTAATGCCGAGACCGGGACTGGCGGCCCATAACCGGTTATGAAGTACCTTGACCGGACCACCATTTTCGACCGGGACCGGTTACGCCAGGACCGATTATGACCAATTATGAGAAAGTTTGAGACCGATTAGGCCCGACACGGGACCGGTTTTTAGCCATTACTAATTCAAACACACCTCAACCAAAGACATAATCTATTTTTCGAAATAAAAAATATTTATGAAAGGCAATTTGAAACAAATAGTAACGTGGTGGAAGATATTGAATTTTATACCAATAATGAGACAAAATAATAACCATAACATAAACATAGAATAAAAAGTTGAGTGTAAAATAAAGTTGACGCCATTTTATGGTGTAATTCATGTTTCACACTCGTGAGCGACTTTAACTGTCCCTCTGCTGCGACTCAACAACGTCTCACACCAAACCATAACCTCACGTCGTAGTTCTTGTATTGTAGCCTCTTAGTTTTTTGGGAAAAATGGGTTTTATGCCCATTTTGAAAGGAAAAGCAAAGTTGTTAGAACAAAAATCGGCAACATGTAAACGGGTTTGTGGAGTTGGTGGGTTATTTTTCACACCCTTATTCTTATAAAAGGAACCGCAAAGCAAGTATACGATATGGTCTAATGTCGTCTTTTCTAAGTAATAAAGTGGTAAAAACCAGTTATCGTCCACGGAGATCATAGTAAAGGCTTAATAAGGTCCAATGAAAGAAATGATTTCAGATGATGAAATTGAAGACTTCAGTTGGATCTGAGTTAACAATAATGATATAACAGAATATAAAAGGGTAGCATGAGTATAATGAGACTTGTGGTGAAATGTAACCAAAAATTCCAGCAGACAATGTTGTAGGAATGCTACAGCATGCAGTAGGCCATAACTAGTTTCACCATCTATTTTGAAGGCATTCCTCTCGAACTTCCACCATTGCAATATATTATAGCTTTCAACTCATATATCTATGTGGTATTCGGACCAGAGATAGTGACGAAATAGTGTCTTCAAAATATATAGCTAAACAAAATCTTTTTGTTAAAAATCACTTTTTTGAGCCGATTCTCATATCATATTAGATTAAAATATGATAATGGTGCTATTTATCAACTTATTTCACACAATTGCAATTGATATTAATTATACGTTTTCTTACGCATGGGAGTTGAAATCATCACAACTGTATATAATCAACAAGATTCAATAAATACGAGACTTTTTATTCTTACTGCAAACCAATTATTATTCCTCTATATCTGATAGCATAATATGAATTTAACTATAAATGATATCGGACAATTTAATAAAAAAAATGCCAAGTACAATGGCTCTTTTTACTACTACATGTTGAAATGAAGGGTGATAGGCCCCTAAGACAATCGTTATTGGCAGTTTTGCAACAGTGTATTACGATGTCTTAAATTGTTACTAATCCGTTGACAATTGACGATGGATTACTGACAATTCTCATATCCAATATAGTCCTTTGATAAACCGTCTCAATTTTTTTGGTTTGTATATATGTTTGTTGATGTTCAGTCGCAGTAATCCATCGGTTAACAACCGTCGGTGATAACCATCAATGATACCTGATTTTCTAGTAGTGCACGATTCTATTTTTATTAACATTAAACTAATGCAATCTAAACAACATTTTATTTATACAATAAGTTATTATTTCATAGATACGGACCATGCGACATACAAATTAAATGATTTGTTATGCTCGGCACAAAGCCTACAACGGATCATCTTGATCGAGGAACTCGTTTCAAATTACAAGCACACTTGACTAGAAAATTGAATTGTACATGTTGGCATCACTCAAAAACCTTAATTATTACAAACCAACTTATTCTGAAGTAAATACAGAGATACAGTTTTAACCCCTACCCTTTGAATGCTTTATTACGCTTCCATTGTAATACTCAGTTTGCAACACTTGACATCCTTGTGTTCCAATCAACGCCAACAAATGCGTGCGAGCAATATGGTTTGGTACCCATATTTCAGTTTAATACCAACGCTATTACGTCATCATCGGTAACAACCTGGGACACGAATGAGACAATTAGTGGATACAATATTCTTGCATAGATGTACCAATTTAGCACATATATTAGGATACATATGGGGAGTTCACGTGAGACCAGCCAGTTTCAGTGAAACCTATGATACCACAAAATAACATTGAAACTTTAAGCAAAACAGATTCAATATTTTTTGTACCTTTACAGTGTTTTGTTGTGAAGTTTCAGTGTTATTTATGTGGTCTCGGATCTCATAGAAAGAGTTTGATCTCACATGATCTCAAGTATTTATGTATATATATAACTCACATTCAACATTAGTTGACGGCTATCACTACCTCAAAATACCACTTAGGCAACAAATGAAAAATGTTGCCTAAGAGGRGTTTATATGTTGCGTAAGGCTTAGGCAACAAACTCGTGTTGCCTAAGCAGTGTTGCCTTCTCAATGTTGCATAAGAACCAAGGCAACATATGCAAACAGAATATGTTGCCTAAGCGGCCTTCTTAGGCAACACGCAAAAGGTTATGTTGCCTAAGTAAAAAACATATGTTGCATAAGGTATCAGCTTAGACAACATACTCTATCTTCATATGTTGCCTTAGATATCAGCTTAGACAACATACTCTATTTAAATATGTTGCCTTAGATATGAGCTTAGACAACATACTCTATTTAGATATGTTGCCTTTAAACTGTAATTAACATAATATAATATTTCTTTTAGACAACATTTATATTATTAATTATTGCCTAAGATTTTTGTGTAC